AGTGGGACCAGGAGGGAGCAGAAGGGGTGTCCTGACATCTTAGGTAATGGAGGGAAAGGCAGAGCCTGGAGGCAGGATGCAAGCCTGAGGGATTAATGATCAAGTGTGCTTGCAGGTTGCTCCCACTAAGTGGTACTGGAACACTGTCAGCCACACGAAATCTAAACTTTCAGGTCACTGCCTCCAGCAGAAGGGATATTTAACGGGTGGGAAAAGAAAAAGTCGTCAGGTGCCACAACCAATCAGGTCTGGTCCAACGTAGCATAAGGTGTACCCGAATAAACCCTGGGCTCGGGCTCGGCCCACGGGGAGGGAGCAAAAGCACCCCAGAGCCAGAATCGCCATGAGGCTAAAGTTGGCTAGGAGCTGTTGGTTTGATACCATGACAGGAAAGTCCCTCAGGAACATAGGAAAAGAGACAGACAGAGTGGTTAGTGCAAGGAAGTCTGCTTTTGGCTAGTCCTCAGCAGGGATTTCCCCCAGCAGGAGCGTCCAGCAGTGTGCCAGACACTCACGGTCACGCCTTAGGCATGCCCCTGTTGGTTTGGCGCTCAAGTCTTATCAACCTTGGTCCAGGAGAGATGTCCCTTTGTGCAGTTGCCAAAAATGTTACAGCTGATTTGAAGTGTTGCGGGCTGGTGTCGAGGGTCCTTGCCTTCACAGGCCAGAGAACTGGCTCGTGGGGCAGCAGATTGACTTGTGAGCCAAAGCCAGTACACAAAGCAGGATTTATTAGTTACAGCTAGAACAGTGCAGCAGAGCCCAGAAACTGGTAACTCACAGCTCAGGTGAAGGCTGGGGCTTTTATGGACATTTCAACTCTGGGTTTGTGTGAGTGTTAGGTGGGCTCTTTGGCCGTGGATTTGCGGGCTTTCTTAGATAAGCTGGTCTGTTTGCCCCTTATTGGGGAGGGGAAACAATCTGAGAGCATTTTGCTCATCAGTTCTGTGGCAGATCTATCAGATCAGGTATCTCCTCTTCAGGATGTAGAAATGCAGAGTTACAACTCCCTCTCAGGATGCAGGAATCACAGTGCTCTCCATGGGGGATGGGATGCTCACTCATCTGCCCTTTGGTCTCCAGACCCAACACCAGGATTTGGGGAGTCATCAGTTGCTGCTAACACACACAGCCCAATGGTCTCACAGCACCGGTGAGGCCATGTCTGTGTTCTCATCCTGGAGGCCCAGCTCTTAGAGAGGCCTTGAGCTGCTCCTGGGAGCTTCTCAGTAAATACGGACCTTGCCTTCTCAAGCTGAGGTCACCTAAGCAAAGAGCCCACAAGAGCAGTGAGGGGGCATCTCGATCCCAGGGGGTCCCAGGGAGCTCTCTCACCTCCTGATCCCCAGATATATAAGGCTGTCCCCACCCCTTACCTCCCTTGTGGAGAAGCCTGCCAAGTGAGCCTTGCACACTTGGTGGCTCAAGAACAGCTCTTTCTCCCAAGGGCACCTGCTGGATCTGCTGAAGACTCGAGGGAAAAACGGGGCCATCGCCTTTCTGGAGAGCCTGAAGTTCCACAACCCCGACATCTACAAGCTGGTCACAGGGCTGCAGCCTGATGTGGACTTCAGTAACTTCAGTGGTGAGAGCAGGCTTCTGACAGGGGTCTGTGGGAGTCCCCAGGAGCCTAGGTGGCCTTGCTGCTGTTAGCCCAGGCTCTTTCCTGTTCCCTTCAGGCAGGGGTCCAGGCTCTGAGCCCCCAGCACTCACCCCATGGGTTGGGGAAGGAGTCCCCAGACCTTGGACCCTATAAGGGAGTTCAAACCCCAGTACTGAAAAAAAAAAAAAAGATTTAGTCTGATGGGTGGAAGTCAAGGCCACAGTCACTACTTAAGTGATTTGGGTCTTCCCTGGAGGAGCAGCTGAAGGATTTGGGTATTCAGGGAACTTGAAACAGCAGATAATAAGCCATCTCCTCCTGTCAGAGTTCTAGAATACAGATCTACATGCTCTGTGTTTCTTGGGATGACATTGAAATGTCAGCTAACCAGGAGAGAGCTGACTGTGAGCAGCAGCTCTCACGGGGCTGCCGAGAGGCCAATCCTTGTTTCAAAATCATGCTATGCTGTTTATTTAATATGGAGTCGAACTGAGGCTGGGGGCCCCAGGTTAGGGCTGGGGGCATGCAGGGGCCTGGGCTTGTGCTGCAAACCGGGGAGGCTGAGGATGGAGTGGTAGGGGCAGTGCTACAGCCCACCTGCCGGCCCTCCTGCAGGCCTCATGGAGACATCCAAGCTGACCGAGTGCCTGGCAGGGGCCATCAGCAGCCTGCAGGAGGAGCTGGCCCAGGAGAAGGCACGGAAGGAGGCTGTGCTGCGGCAGTGCCAGCGGCTGCAGGAGCGCCTGGGCCTGGCTGAGGCCCGCGCCGAGGGCCTGCCCCAGCTGGAGGCTGACCACAGCCGCATGAAGCGTGAGGTCAGCGCCCACTTCCACGAGGTGCTGAAACTGAAGGATGAGATGCTGAGTCTCTCGCTGCACTACAGCAATGCCCTGCGGGAGAAGGAGCTGGCTGCCACTCGCTGTCACAGCCTGCAGGAGGAGGTAGTGGAATGCCCTGTACCAGGGAGGGAGGCTGAACCTGCAGCTGCCCACCTCTGGGCCTTTGCACATGCTGGTCAGCCTGCCCGGAACTCCCTTCCCCTCCTCCTTGTCCAACACACCTCTGACCTCACCCCTCCACAGGCAGCGCCACTGAGCCCCTGCACAGCCCACATGGTACATGTCCACACCATGTCCTGTAACTGTCCACAGCCTGGCTAGCCTGGCTGTGAGCTGGGCATCTGGGGTGGTCTGGGCTCCATATTGGTTGACCCCCCCCACTGTGGCCCACTGCCCCAGCTGTGCAGTGACACTGGGACCATCATCTCTAGCCACCTACCTTTGTCCTCAGCTGGTTCAGGTTAGGGCAGGGAGGGTGGAGAGTGTGTTCAAGTCCAGCTTCCTAAACCCTAGCAGTGTCTCTACTCGTTTTCTGTGGGGTGGGGATCTTACTTTGTAAGGGTTCTTTCTGTATTGTTATTATTGCAGTACTGGGGCTTGAACTCAGGGCCTCACCCTTGCTAAACAGGTGCTCCACCACTTGAGCCAGTCCTGTGTGGGTTCTTTAAATACTGAGGAAGTTAGTTCCTTGACATTTTGGTGTTTGCTTTTTGCTTTAATTATGTCACTTGTTTGTTTGCTGGACAGAACCCGTGCTTGCTAAGCAAGTGCTGCTCTCCAGCCCATTTGTTTGCTTTTGATTTCTGAATTTTAACTTTTTATTTAGGAATAACTTCAAATTTATATTTAAAAAACAACACATTAGGATAGGTATGGTGGTACAAGCCTGTAATTCCAGCACTCAGGAGGTGGAGGCAGGAGGATCATGAGTTCAAGGTCAGCCTGGGCTACATAGCCTTGGCCTGGATGGCCTGGCTGTGAACTGCTCACCACACAGGAGGCTCACCCGTGGTGTCTGGGGTAGATGAGGATAACCTGGACACCGTAAAAAGAAACTCTCACCCAGTTTAAATACTACAAAGGATAGCCACGGACCCTTCCTTTCACATTTGCATCCTCCCTATCTGTGTTTGTCTCTCTCTGTCTCTATCTCTGTCTCTGCACACACACCCCCTCTCTTGTCCTGAACCACTTAGTTCTGTGTGTCATGCTCTTTCTCCCAAACATTTCAACATATATTTCTTTTTTTTTTTTTGCGGTACTGGGACTTGAACTCAGGGTCTTCACCATGAGCCACTCTACCAGCCCTTTTTTGTGAAGGTTTTTTTGAGATAGGGTCTCACAAACTGTTTGCTTGGGCTGGCTTTGAGCCGTGATCCTCCTGACCTCTGCCTCCTGAGTAGCTGGGATTACAGGCGTGAGCCATGGCGCCCGGCTATATATTTTTTAAAAACAGAATCTTCTGCCCTCTACCCATAGCTTGGTCACCAAGTTCACAAACACACGGGCTTGCTACCTAATCTCCCACCTGTGTGTCAGTTCTGTCACTTGACCTAAGTCACCTCCTCTGCAGCCTTTCCCTCCACTTAGGTCAGGGGTGCATTTGGCCACCCTGTCTCTTTAGCCTCCTTCTACCCAGAAAGTTCCTACAGCCTTTCTATCACAACCTTGGTGTTTTTGGAAATGTCCCCCTGGTTACATCAGGCCCTCCTCATTTGAGCTTTGTCTCTTGCTTCCCACAAGTGGACAGAGGCCATGCATCTTTGGCCAGGCTCTGCACAGAGGCACTGGGCTCTTGTAAGGAAATATTAGTAATGACTTCTGTGGATCATGGGGTTCCTGTACTAATTAACAAAGGACTAAGGCTAAAACATTAATTTCTAGTCCTACTTGTATCAGTAGTCAGCGGGAACTAAATATGACAATGAGAGTGTCTGAAAAAATAGTTAATAAAATAATAGAGGAGCCAGGCACCAGTGACTCACACCTGTAATCACAGCTACTCAGGAGGCAGAGATCAGGAGGATCATGGTTCAAAGCCAGCCTGGGCAAATAGTTCTCCAGACCCTATCTCGAAAATATCCAACACAAAAAAAGGGTTGGTGACGTGGCTCAAGTGGTAGAGTACCTGCCTAGCAAGCATGAGGCTCTGAGTTCAAACCCCTGTACTGCCAAAAAAATACAATAAAATAAAAATAACAGAGGAGATCGTTGGGGTAATTAGTGTGGGAAGGGTGTAGCTTATGTAGCTGATCTTACTATAGAATTTAGTGTATTATGGTAGCATGAAGATTTTTGAATTCTCAAGTTTAGGTTCCGGTTCTGTAATTCTAGAAATAAAAGGACTTAAACCTCTGTGTTATTCTATCGAAGTCGCTCTCTTGTCACACGTGTGTCTGTGTTTGATAGTTCCCGTCCACCCTTGGGTGGATTTTTAAGCCTCAGGGCGGGAACCCTCTGCATATGGACAGCATCCTCATCAGGAGGAAGGAGCAAAAGCCCACCCGGCTCCTTCCCCTCCCCGCCCTCCCTGCTAGCTGTATCTGGTGAAGCAGGAGCTTCAGCGAGCGAATATGGTGTCTTCCTGTGAGCGGGAATTTCAGCAGTGGTCCCTGAAGATGGCCGGCGACCCAGAGTCTGGGGACGAGGAGCTGAGCCGCCTGAAGGAGGAGAACGAGAAACTCCGCTCGCTGACATTCAGTCTGGTAAGTTTCTGCTCCCCCCCAAGCTGGGTCAGCCGCCATCCCTGGGCACTTGGTGTGAGCAGGGACTTCTGACAGGTGGTTTTGCTAAGGTGAGGCTAGAGGTGGGAAGTGGGGACTGTTGGGAGCAGAGGAATTCGTGCTATCTAAGTCCTGGAAGTATGCAAACCCTTGCTTCCCTCTCTTAACAAACAAGTATGTATTTAGTGCTAAACTCCTTCAATGCTCCTTCATTAGGGGCAGGGCCCAGCCTCACCGGCCTGGATTGAAAACAGTTGGGGGACGATGACTGTCCCCTGGCTCCTCCCTGTCTTTGATGCTGTGCCGGTAGACAGTTGCAGGGGTTGAAGCGCCCAAGAGGTTCTCAGCTTCCTTGACTTCCTGTCTCCTTGACCGCATATAATTAGAACTGAAATGTCCATTTTCCCATTTAGGCTTAGGCTTGTTTTGTGTCTTTTTCCTGCCTTATGTGCAGGAAGAAGGCGACATTCTCTATCCACGTGCCTGGCCTTGAGGCTTCCTGTGCCACATGCTCTTGGGACCCTGCTTCCTCACGGGTGGGTCTCAGGGGAGGTTGGGGTCCTGGGCTGACCTCTTCCTGCACCAGGCAGAGAAGGACATTCTGGAGCAGAACCTGGACGAGGCCCTGGAGAGCAAGCAGGAGCTGGTAAACCGCATCCACTCATTGCGGGAGCGGGCTGTGAACGCAGAGAAGCAGCAGAAGCAGGTGACAGCCTCAGTAGCCACCTTCCTCAGGTGTCCTGATGTCCTGACTCAGGGGCAGGGCTGCGTTTGTGGGACTGGTAGATTCCTTCACCCACACTGAGTTTAATTAATTCGTCTGGTCCTTTGTCAGAGCCAGGTTCAGGCAAAGGAGAGTAAGCCCAGGGTGATGTCAGCGGCTTCAGGGGCCAAGTGACAGCCAGGGATTCAGTCAAGGGGAGAACAGAGAGAAGGGAGACAGTGGGAGAGAATGAGGCAGGGTGGGGGGAAATTCTCTGTGTATTTGGGACGTTAAACCAGACAACATAAGAGCACATTTTCCTAAGTCCAATACGGCAAGCTTTGCAGCTCTGTAGATACACCTGCAAACCTAGGCCTGCAGAAACCAGCCTCAATTCACCTCACTTCACTCCTAGAACCTCCTGCCTCCCTCTCCCCAACTCCCCATCCCCCTTTCCCCCTCCCCCCGCCCAGGCCCTCAGAGCCACTAACCTCCATAGGCCATGTCTCCCCTGTCCAGTACCTTAAGGAGAAAGAACAGACCCTGCTCCAGTTCTGGAAGACCCAGATGGACTGCGAGCTGTACAGGGAGAAGATGACCATGCTGCAGGGCCAAGTGACGGAGCTGCAGAAGGAGCGTGACCAGGTAACCGCAGGCAGGCCAGGCCAGGGACCCAGGGAGGACACAAGGTGACTGCCCTTGCTGGGTCTGAGCTACGGAAGCCCCCTGTCACCTCCACCATTGTATCTGGGTGAGGTGGGACAGCCTGAGGGTTCCGTCTCTTCCTAACAGCAGCTGCTTCCAGATTTCAGGGCCTCTTTCTTTGGTCCACATGAGGTTTAACTGCCCTCCCGTGCCGTCAACTGGCCTGCTCTCTCTGTCATCCTCCCTGCCTTTATTCCTGGCAGACACTGGGAAAGTCCATCCCAACAGTGGGTTTTATCAAAGCCACCACACATGTCCAGAAACTGAAACAGATGTAGATTTGTAGGTTGCCAGTGTGCAATGGATGAGCTCACTGTAAATGCCCACAAGTCAGTTGTGGGGTGCTTCTCCCAGCTGAGACCCTCTGGTTTCAATGACCCTGCTCCTAACTGCCCACATGGGACCCTCCTGTCCGTCTGTCCTGTCTTTGCTGCAGTCGTACTCTGCGCGGGACGGGGCCCAGATGGAGCTCTCTCGGAGCCTGATGGAGAAGGACTCTCTCCGCAGAAGAGTGTTCGAGCTGACCGAGCAAGTCTGCGAACTGCGCACTCAGCTGCAAAAACTGCAGGCGGAGCCCCCCGCGGGGGTGAGCGTGCGGGGCCTGAGCGGGAGGGATGTGACCTACTGGTGGGAGTGTTTGAGCTGGGGAAACTGGGTCACATGTGCCCCGGTCGAGCTGGCCTGCCTTAACTCCAAGGCCACTGCCTCCTATGAGCGGCACAGAGGCGCTGCACCTGCTTCTGAGGCTCTGTCCTGCCAATACCACTGTGTCACAGAAGGGGAGCCTGTAAAGCGTGGTGTGTAAAGGGGAGCCTGTAAAGCGTGGTGTGTAAAGAGGCTGTCCACGGGCAGCTGTGCACTTTGTAGACGACACATTCCTAAATGTTGGAGTCACATAGTCAAGAGGGCCTGGGGGACATCCAGGGACCCTTTCCTGAGTTAATGAGCCCTGTGCCTAACCAACAGCCCAAGCAGGAAGCCGGGGCCAAAGAGCCCTGTCTGCGGAGGAAGCAGCAGCTTGTTCGAATGCATGCCATGTGCCCGCGGGATGACAGCGACAGCAGCGTCCTCAGCTCCTCAGAAGTCTGTGGCCCCATCCGCCTCCCTGCCCCACCTGCGGTGCCTTCTCTATCAGGATCTTATTTCCGAGGGGAAGAGGTCAGTGTCAGCAGGAGCGTTTCCAGTAGAGGAGATTGACCCCCTCATGGTTAGGGAGACTGGACGTCCAAAGTCAAGGGACTGCAGGGCTACATGCCTGGTTGCTCCAGGCAGCGTCTGGTGACTCCTGGCTGTCCTTGGCTGCAGTCCCTGCCTCCATCTCCACCTGGTGTTCTCCCCTGTGTCTCCGAGTCCAGATTTCTCTCCTCTTAGAAAGGATTTGCCAGAGGCGCCATGCAACCCCAGTTATTCAGGAGGTGGAGATCAGAAAGATCAGGGTTGAAGTCCAACCCAAGCAAAAAGTTACTGAGATTCCCACCCCAGCCAATAAAAAGCTCGGCATGGTGTTGCATGCCTATCATCCTAGCTATGCAGGAGACAGAAACAGGAGGCCTGCAATCCAAACCAGCCTGGCCGAAAACCTGAGACTCTTCTCAAATAACAACTAAAAGAAAGAAAAGAAAAGAAGGCAGTGTGGTAGATTTCCACTGCTTTGACAAAATACCTGAGATCACCAACTTATTTTTAAGATTTATTTTGGCTCACAGTTGTAGAAGTTTCAATCCACAGTTCCTTGGCCTGGTTGCTTCGGGCCTGTGGCAAGGCAGACCATCATACCAGAGAGCATGTGGTAGAAAAATGATGCTCACCACAGAACAGAGCACAGAGAGAGAGAGAGAGAGGGAGAGAGAGAGGGAGAGACAGGGCAGCACAGTCCTAATCTAATCTTCCATTCAAGGCCACATCCTCAATGACCTAACTCCCTTTCACTAGTTCCCCGCCACCAAATTTCCATTCATCTCCCAAAAGCTACACCTCTGGCAATCCGAGTCCTCCACATGTGGCCTTTGGGGACACTTAAAATCCAAACCACAGCAGAAAGACACCAATCCTATGGGATTTAAGGCCCACTCTACTCCATTTTAGCCCAATCTCTGCTGCAAAGATCCTCGTTCCAAACCAGGGCACAGTCACACGTGCCTAGACATAAATTTGAGGGATGCTGTTCCACTCAGCACAGACAGTTCTTGGTGCCGATGCTTTCTGGAGTCCCAGGTCTTCAGTGTATACTCCATCCTTTGGCAAAGCCATGGTCCCCCCGGAGGGCACATGACTCAGGATACTCAGGGTGGGGCTGCCATGAACCAGGATGGGGGACAAGAGAGTGGAGTCCCCTACCACTGCCTGGGCAGGCCTGGGTGCTTCCTTCCTGGATGGTCCCAGCCGTGTCCCTGCAGAGCATCTGGCTTAGACTTGGAAAACTGGGGGACACCATGCAGTTCCCCCAGAACACTGTACGAACACGGCTAGGGGAGCCTCGTGTTCTATGGCAGGCTGCAGGCCACACAATCCACAGCAGGGTCACACTGCTCCCCAGCTCCTCAGCGCCCTCAGCACCCCAAGACGAGGCTGTGGTGAGGCGGGAAGGGACGGGATCTCAGGCTCTCTCCTTATCCAGCCACGTGTGGCTCCCTCTGCACTTGCTGATGGATCCACTCTCCTCTCCAGCCTCCCTCTCTGCCCTCCCCTCCTGGACTTAATAGGTCATTCCAGGGTGCCTGCTGTCCTGCTTCCTCTGGTCTCTGCAGTGCAGTCTCTATGGCCGTGTCTGGAATGTTCCACACCCCCACACCCACCTCCACCTGGTCCTCTGTATCACTTCCTGCAGGAAGTCTTCCCAGGGCCCCTCTTCCCTGCTGGTGTTGTGCAGGCCTATGGTGTGATGCACTCACTCATTGGTCTGTCTTTGCTCATTGGCCCCACACACCAGGGACAGTGCCTATCCATAGGGGAACATTGACACTGGCAAAGGGCCTGGGACCTAGGATGCTTTAGGAATTCCCAGTAAGTGAATTCAGATCTGCTCTGTACACCTGCGTCCCTGTCAGTACCTGCTCTGAAAGCTGCCTCCATCCTGAAGCCCCAGCCCCTCCCCTCAATAGCCAGTAATGGTGCCCCTCTGGCCTGGTGAGAACCCAGGGATAGTAAACACAGAAAGCAGCCTGGCACACAGTAGGTACTTTCTGAACATGACCTCGATGTGTTCTCACTTTCCCCCCTGCTCTCCTCCTCTCTGCGTCTCTGATCTGCACCTGCCTCCTCCAGTCCCAGCTCTGGTGGGACCTGAGCTCCACATCCAGCCGAGAGTTGGTGGACAGCTTCCGCTCCAGCAGCCCCATGCCCCCCAGCCAGCAGTCCCTGTATAAGCGAGTGGCAGAGGACTTCCAGGAAGACCCTGAGTCTGGAAGGTAAAATGTGGTGCAGCCTTGGGGTCTAGCTCACAGGGGACACTGAGCCAGACCTTGGACCATCCAGGTGTTGGATGCAACAGCTATGGAAGGCTCTGGGGGGCTCCAGGCCTCAGGTGGTCTCGGCCCTGCAGTGTGAACTGGCTTCTTGTGCTTTGCCACAGATTTCCAGAAATCCTGGAGGTAGACCTGGGAGCCTCTCCAGGGGCCAAGGATGATGAAGACCTGGATTACGAGGTCCTAGACAAGGCAGGTGAGTATGACCACCCCACTTGGATCTCTGTAGCATCCACCCCCCTCTCCTGGGATACTGGCGGAATGGGCAGGGGAAGTGAGGGCCTGGGAGGTGCAGACATGCAGGCGAGACAAACCAGGTCTCTGACCTGACCCCTGCCTTGGGCCTTGACCTTGGCCTCTAGGAAAATTCAGGCTTCCTGATGGCTCAAACTGAAGCCAAGATGAGTTTTGGTCACTGGTGTCTTTTTGTTTTTCACCTAGAGGCATTCATAGCCTCAGCATCTCAGCATGTGTTTAGATAACCACAGACACACAAGTGCCCATCCAGCCCTTCCTTGCTCTGCCCTGGGGGCCTTGGGCCTCCCGGCTATCAGGAGCACAGACTTAGGTGCTCAGTTGCTCCTGGCAGAGACATGTGGCTCAGGATGACATCCACCTGTGAGAACATCCCTCTTCCTGGGACTCCTTTCCTCATATCCACGGGCTTTTCATGGATGGCTTCCTTACCTTTCCCACCTCTGCACCCTGGGGTTCACATAGTAGGTGCCTCATTCCCATCTGGAACTCACCCCATGGCCACCAGGGGACACAGCACCCCAAGCTGTTGTGCACAGTGTGGCCTCTGGGCATCTGTGTCAGGTGACCAGGAACCTTAACCCTTGCAGCTCAAAAGAGATTTTATGTGTAACAGTGACAAACTGACAGTGTTAACCCAAGGCAAGTCTTGAACGGGGAAGGCTTATTCCTTTCTGGTTTTCTTCAGCTAGGACTTGACATGCCCTGCTTTCATACACTGTTAGTGGCATTGACCTCAAATTTCATTTAGCTTTGAATGTAATCACAAATGGACTTTTGCCTAGGCCTAGGCCACCTGTAGCAGGCAACCTTTAGCTCTTGACTGGTTCTGGAGGGCCACAGGGTGAATAAGTCACAGGCTGCCGGGCATGGTGGTACATACCTGTAATCCCAGCACTCCGAAGGCTGAGGCAGGAGGAGGTCAAGTTCCAGGCCAGCCTGGGCTACACAGTGAGACACTGTCTCTAAATAAATAAATAAATAAATAAATAAATAAATAAATTCTAGAGCTCAGGAATCCCTAGGGAAGCACCTCATCCTGGACTGCCTGCTCAGAGACCTGCCATGGCCAGCTGCCTCCTGGTCAGTGCATGGTTGCTGCCATGTGGAAGCGTGGCCTGGAGTTGTGCTAGATAGTTCACATTCTAGGCAAAATCTCCCTCTGGTTTAGGACATTTACAAGTCATTCAGCTATTTCGGATAAGCCAGGCACTGCTAGGTCTCATCTGTCTTCCTAGCTACTTAGGAGGCTGAGCTCCAGAGGATCAAGTTTCGAGGCCAGCCTGGGCAAATAGTTTCTGAGACTCCCATCTCCAAAATAACCAGAGCAAAATAGACTGGAGGTGTGGCTCAAGCGGTAGAGAGCCTGTTTTGCAAGTGTGAAGTCCCGAGTTCAAATCCATGCAACTTTCACCAGCTTCTCTGATGTCTTAGGAAAGGTGACGTCAAGGTGTTGAGCACAGAGGAAAGAGAAGTCAGTCTCAGCAAAGCGGAGGGCTGAGCAGAGGTGCCCGAGGAGAGGGGAAAGGGCTCACGGCTGGCAGGGACGGCTGGCAGGGACCTCTGGCAGGGACCTCGAGGTCTTAGCCCTCCTTTTCCTCCCAGACTTCCCCCACCCAGAGGGCAGCCCCCAGGAGTCCATCAGAAGCCTCGATGTCTCTGAAAGGTAAGCTGCGGCTGGGGCCCTTCCCCCAATTGGGAAACCAGAGCCAGGAGGTGACAGAGCACAGGGTGACCATGTCCCTTCACCGTACAGAGGGGAAACTTTTCCAAGAGGGTGGGGCTGAGGTGGGGAAGGAGAATTCCAGGATGCTGGGGCCAGAGGGCCACATGGAAATGGACCTGTGGGACCCCTGCTCTGGGCAGTGCCCAAGCTTGTCACCTGCCTGCTCACAGCGGTGTCCCTGTGCGGCGGAGGCCGGCAGCACGCAAGATCCTGGGTCAGGTCACAGTGCTGGCCTTCCAGGGGGCCGCATTGCTGGAGCAGATGAGCATTGTTGGTGGGAACCTCACCGGTATCTTCGTTCACCTGGTCACCCCGGGCTCGGCGGCAGACGAGATGGCCTTGCGCCCCGGCACTCAGATTGTGATGGTGGGTAAGCTGCCAGGCTCCTCACGAGTCCCTGGCCTGGCCTGGCAAGGGCAAGGCGTTGATGTGACAGGTTCCTGGCTCTGTCCGGCGCTGACATAAAGGGCTATGCTCGCTTTTAGAAGAGGTCGGTGCGAAACCCAGAACCCTTCTCAAACCTGACATCCTGGAACCCTGGGAACTGGGAAACTTCAGGTGGTTCACCATGGAGAAGGCTGCTGGGATGTGGCACTCTGATTGTGGACTACTTTCTCTCTCTCTCTCTCTCTGCTCTTCCCATCTTCCCTCTCTCGCTCCTCCGCCCTCTCCCTCTCCTCACGCCCAGTGCTGGGTTTCGAACCCAGGGCATCTGACAGCAGCCAGCACCGAGTACACCGCACGCCCCTCACTATAACCAGGGATTTTTGATAGACGCCTCTTGCTTGTTTGGATGGGGGAGAAACTTTTTTTTAGTGTGATGATCTTATTGTCACTTTTTTTTGGGGGGGGGGTGCGGTAAAGTACGCAGGATGTAAACTGGATGCCAGTGGCTCACGCCTGTAATCCTAGTTACTTGGGAGGCTGAGATTAGGAGGATCAAGGCTCAAGGCCAGCCTGAGCAAATAGTTCCCATCTCCATCTCTACAATAATAAGAGCACAATGGGCTGGAGGTGAGTCTCTCGAGTGGTGGAGCGCCTGCTTTGCAAGCACGAAGCCCTGAGTCCAAACCCCAGTCCCACCACACGCACACAAAATGCACATGACATAAAATTCACCATTGTAATCAGAGTGCATTTTTCTAAAACTTTTTTTTTTTGTAAAATACACAAACATGAAGAGAATATAAAGGTGCATATAAACGTCCAACTGAACGATTTATGACGAAGGGAACACAGGAGCAAGCAGGGCGACTTTGATGTGGCCCCAAAGCAGAATTACTCATCTTCAAACTTTTAAAAATTACCAAGAAACACGCCAAGTGGGCTCCACCCCATCCCCACGGAGCTCACCTGCCGGCCCCAGTGGGAGTCGGGAGCTGGGGACCTGGAGTGCAGGGGAAGCGGGTTTGGGTACAGCCCCTGGGCAGGGGTGTCCTGTGTGACCTGCCGGCTCCCCTTCAGAACAGGGCGTCCACAGCAAGGCCAGGTTCTCCTTGGTCTTGAACAACTCCCACAGCCAGGTCCTAGTACAGCGTTGCCCTGTATCTCCCACTCCACACGACCCAGAAAGCCCCCCGTGCCTAGAGTCCTAGCTATCAGCTGGGGTGTCACTACGGCAGGGCAGGTGTCTGAGGGGCAGTCCTGACGCCCTAATGGGTCAATTCCCTCCTAATAGTCTTAAGGTATATCTTAACTGTACCGCACTATAAAAATGTGGTGCGGCCCTTCACAGCTGGGGCAGATAGTGGGGTGGATGCTCTGGCACTGAGTGAAGAACACAGATACCGTTCAACGACCCCACAACACAGAATGGCCGGGCCTCAAATGTGAATAGTTCCAAGGGTGAGGAACCCAGATCTAGAATGATCCAGAATGTTCTGGAACGGAGGTCCATTTTCAAGAGAGGGAAGTCCCATCAGTAGTGAGAGGGGTGGGGATGGGTTAGTGGATGACTTGGGGGCAGGGATGTGTGTGACGTGGATCTGTGCCACTAGAAGGCGCTGCACAGCTGTCCCCACACTGCCCACAAGGGCTCTGAGGGTGCAGCCACAGCTAGCCAACGTACGTGGGTGTCTGGGGAAGGCCAGGGAGTCCGGCTGCAGTGTTGCACTTCGCCCACCCCGGGCCCCTCCACACCCTGGGTTCCCTGGGACTGCGGAGTCTCGAAGAAGCCACCCTCATGCTTTGCTCTCAGGTTGACCATGAGGCGACGGAGCCCGTGTTCAAGGCCACCCTGGAGAACACAACCCTGGAGCAGGCCATCAGCCTCCTCGGGAGGGTGAACGGCTTCTGCTGCCTGTCTGTGAAGGTCAACACCGACGGTACAGGCCCCAACCCCCACGCTTGCTCAGCTGTCCAGTTCTGTCCCTGTGACTTCAGGCCTCCTGGCTCTGCCATATGACCCACACCCAGGCCCACTCAGGGCCCCAGGGGCGATTCAGCCACACTTTCCCTGAGTCCCTGTGCCCCCAAAGAGCTGGAAGCCCCACCACCCACAAGCTTCATTGCCAGTGTGACTTCGGAGACTTTGGGGGAGGGTCCTTCTTTCTCTCCTACTTTACATTCTAGAACTTTTCTTCTGTGGGCTCGGGGCCTGGGGTCATCAGTCATTCGTGTCTCCTTTTATCAGGTTATAAGAAACTAGTTCAGGACCTGGAAGCCAAAGTGGCGACCTCAGGGGACTCTTTCTACATCCGGGTCAACCTGGCCTTGCAGGGGAAGGAGGAAGGGGAGTTGCAGGTACATTGCAATGACATCCTGCATGTCACCAACACCATGTTCCAGGGCCGAGGCTGCTGGCGGGCACACCACATAAACCCCTACACCATGCGGGACACAGAGCATGGCACCATTCCCAACTACCCACGGTGAGCAGCAGCCATGAGTGCCAGGCATCCTCAGAGAGAGCCACACTAACATCCAGCTGTCCCAGTGTCATGGAGGGGCCTCCTGCCCAGGAGGAAGCAGGACCTTCTAGAGGCTTCCCTTCCTTCCAGCAGAGCCCCTGGCCAAGCATAGGGGGTGGGAGGGATGGGTGTCTCTCCTTGGAAGGGGACTCTACTGAGGTCATTGCTTAGGCCTGGGTATCCTACTGATAGATGCTCTATCTCTCAAACATGGATGGACAGGTCATTCATTCTAGAGTATTCTAGATCTGGGCTTCTTAGTCCTGGTACTATTGACATTTGAGGCTGGTTCACTCTGTGGTCCTGGATCATGCAGGAGGTCAGGCCATGAAGCATCCCTGACCTCCAGCTACTAGATGCCAATTGTGACAACCAAAAATGTCTCCACACATTGCTGAGTGTCCCTGGGGTAGGGTGACCAGTCATCCTCGTTTGCCCAGGACCGAAAGCCCTGGGTCTTGGGCAGCTCTTCGGTCCTGGGAACACTGGGCCAGCTGCTCACTCTCCTGGGGAGCCCCAGTGCCCTTCCCTGGGCCAGAAACATTGTCCTAGAGCAACCCGTGGGTACCAGGAAGGTTCAAGTCCGCAAAGCTCATGAGGACGCTAGCCCGGAACCTCTCTACCATTTTCAAATTCAAGTGCCCCAGGGATCAGATCCAGCAGGCCCAGGGAGAGGCTGCAATTCTGCATTTTGGGCACACACTCTCCATGAAGCCAGGCTGGAGACCTGGCACACACTATGAGTGACCCAGCAGGCCTTTGGCCATGACTGCTCATTCACATCCCCTGGATCACCTCACAGTTAAATTAGCATCTCCAGGGATGGGGTGAGCCCTGGGGACTGTGAGGGCAGCCAGGGTGGACACCACTGCCTGCAGCCCGGAAGCCACCTGTCATGAGGGAGGAAGTCAGGGCCTCTCTTCGTCTGTCCCCACAGGGCTCAGCAGCAGCTCCTCGCCCTCATCCAGGACATAGCTCAGCGATGCACCATGGCCCAAAAGGTGAGGCTATGAGGGGAGGGTCCTGGACCCCTGGCATGGGCTAGAAGGGAGTATGGGGCTGGGGTGCTGGCTGGGGTTTGTGTGGAAAATGTGGGGTGTTTGTTGGAGTGAGGTGGTGCCTGTCCCCAGTGACCCCTCCAACCCTTCGTGGGTCTGTACCCCACCCAGCCAGGTCCTGCTCTCAGAAGTGGCTGCCACTCTGCATTACCCTCCAGGGTCCCCTGCCACCTCCCTACCTCCTGGCTCTCATTTCCTCACTTTGTACATTGAGCGCCATGTGTCCCCGAGCAAGGTGCTAGGATATGCTGGGCTGTGGGAGACCTACTTTTCCCTCTGCCTTTTGCCTCCTGTCCCTTCCTGCAGAGCCTTGTTTGGGGCTGTCCGCCTGAGGACCCTCTCCTGTCGTCCTCCCCCCGTGCCTGGTCTCCCTGGCATGTAACCTGGGTGTCCTGCTGTGTAGTGGGCACAGCCTGGTGGTTCAGAGACCGCACTGGATTTGCTGATAGGGCTGGGTACAAAGCAGGGTCGGGGGTGCCAGGCCTACTTTGAGGCCTTCAACCATTCCTCTTTGTCCCTTCTCCCCCTTCTTCCTTTGGCAGTCTCCTGGAGGACAGAAGTTGGTCCGCATTGTCAGTGTGGACAAAGCCAAGGCCAGTCCTTTGTGCTCATCCTTTGACAAGGGCCAACTGGACCCCAGCAGGGTGGAAGGTGAGGCCTGGCACACTGGCACAGGGGCTGCTGGCTCCACAGTGGGTGAGGGGCTTTGAGAGTTGCTGCTGGGTGGTCAGCATGGTCAAGATGGCACCTCTCACTCAACCAGGGCCTGTTATTGGTGGGACTAAGGTTTGAACTTTGGGCTTTCAAAGCAGGCACTATACTGTTTGAGCCACACCTCCAATCTAAGGGCCTGTTTTTAAGATATCATTGATGAGTCTTGTCGGACAGAAACTGAGCCACACAACCTTAATGTCCTTCAAATGGCACTCCCACCTCTGTAATGTGCCCAGTAAAATAGAAGCCATCACACAAAGCTTGAAGATAACCAAATGCCCAACCTTGTACAAACCAGCAGACCCTGGGATGGCCACTAAGTGATCACCGTGTGCACAAAATCATGATAGAGGTCAGAATTAGCACAGAACTCCCCACCCCCACCCCCACCAGGTGAAATTGTACAATGCAGACAGTCAGAATGAACTTAGAGCAAGGCAAACCATTTAGGGTTCACTCTCGTCTTTGAAATTGAAATAATAACTCAGGAGAGGAGTGAAGGGCCCAGGAAGGCTGAGGACCCCTTACCCCAGGGGGCAGGGCTGAGGGGGGGCCTGAGGGAGCAGGACCCTTGCCCATTTTTCCAAGGGAGGAAATCTGCCTCCTTCCATCCCCACTGTAGACCAAACAAGCAAAACGGGATTGAATCGCAGCCCACCAGGCTGCGCCCAGACAGCCACCAGTGATGTAACCGATGCGCGCAAAGACACCTCTTTCTTGGAGGTGGTTGTTGAAGTGTAATTAGTCCCGTTAGAGCTGAGTGTGTGTCCCGTGTAATTCCAGGTGCCGGGGCTACAGCAGTCAGCAAAGCTGGCCTAGTCCCTTCTGGAGGGTGGGCTAGAGCACAGCACTCACTCACGGCCCCTGTCCTCCACAGATGGTGCCAGCACATGCTTCTGGGCCGAGAGCTGCTTCACCCTGGTGCCCTACACCCTGGCACACCCCCACAGGCCCGTCCGGCCCCGGCCTGTGCTCTTCGTGCCCAGGGTGGTTGGGAAGCTCCTGAGCAAAAAGCTGTGCCTCCTTCCAGGATTTAAGAAGTGCCCAGCAGGTACATGCTCACCTGTGAGGCGGCTGGGCAAGGCTGCCAGGCAAAGCCCTGCCAGAAGCTTTATCTGTACTGGGAGCAGTGTGCAGGTGATATGCAATTCTCCTTGGGCCACCATAACAAATGACTGCAAACTGAAGGTTAATTTTTTTTGGGGGGAGGGGGGCAGGACTGGGGTTTGAGCTCAGGGCTTCACACTTACAAAGCAGACATTCTATGCTTGAACCACACCTCCAGTCCATTTTGCTGTAGTTGTTTTTGATGGTGGGCTCTCGAAAACTATTTGCCCGGACTGCCCTCGAACCTCAACCCTCCTGATCTCAGCTTCGCAAGTAGCTAGGATTACAGGCGCCAGGCCACACTGGGGATTTTAAATGATAGAAATTATCATCTCAAAGTTCTGCAGGGCAGACCTGATCTCAGAGCTTTGGCAGGCCATGCTGTCTCTGGAGGTTCCAGGGGTGAATCCTTCCTGGCCTCTTTCATCAATGGGGAGCTTGGGGTCCTTGGCTTGTGGCTGCATTGCTCCCATCTCAGCCGTGGCAGTCAATGGCCTTTTTCCTTCTGTGTTCACATGGTCTTCCTATGTAGGACACCAGTCATTGGATTGAGGGTCCACATAAGTGTGACCTCATCTGGTCTTCTCTCAAGACCCTATTTCCAAGTAAGGTCCCATTTTGAGGTTCTGTGTGGCATGAATGGGGTAGCACTGTTGCACCCAGCAATAGCTCTTGGCAAACACACTTGAATTAATGAGGTAGCACAGTCTGGGGCACTATCCACTATCCACTCACTCAGGCAGCTTCCTGGACAGCCAGGTAACCCAAGGCTGAGTGGCTGCTCAGCAGGATAGGCTGGCTGGCAGGTGTGGGGTTACACCCGGGGGTGGGTAGGGCCTTGTCCTGCCCTCTTGACATTCACAGAGGAGAAAGGAAGCAAGCACATCCATGAGGTTCCTCTACTGAGCACCTATCTGTGCAAGTCTCTGTGGGGCTGCAGGAGAAACTGAGTCCCAGAGGCCCCCCAGGGGTCCACCAGTCCCTTTAGAAACCGTTAGGGCTGGTGGGTAGAATGAGGTCAGTCACTATGAGCTCCATAGGTGCCCAGAAAGGCAGCTGTGGATTCTGTGGGAGGCAAAGGGTCAAACTGGAGAGGGCAGATGGGCAGGAGGTAGTAAGCAGGAGGCAGTGAGGCAGGCCCGGCAGCTGGGCAGGGTGTGTTAAGGCACAGGAGCATAGGACACGGTGGGCCTGAGCCACTGCTTAGTGGGGCCGCATGTGCAGCCTTATACAACACACAAGGGAGAGATTCCATGACAGTTTTTAATAAGAAGACTCACTCAGGCATGATTTTTGAATGCTCATCTTAAAAGCGATGGAAGCTCAGCTAGGGACCAGGGAATGTGCTGGACCCCTGGGACCCCAGGGCCGTGGCGGCACCGCCCCACTGCAGTGCAGAGCTGTGTACAGCACTGGGCAGCCCCAAAGCAGGTGCCTCAGGCAAGGAGGACAGGCCAGGAAGGAGGCAGGTGCAATCTAACCTGGGGCCTGGGTGGCCAGAACCAAGAGAAACCTGTTCAGAAGTGAGGTAAAAGTGGGGTGTCTACGTTTAGAGCAGGGTTTTCAACTTATCCATGGTGGGGGACTGTCCTAAGCAGTGTAAGGGGTTGGGAAGCACCTTGGCTTCATCCCTGTTGATGCCATGCCCACCCCCCAACCCCGACAAACACACTGTGACAACTGAAAAGCATCCTCTGGGGAACAAAACTGCTCCTGAACAAGAAGCAGCAATTCAAGGAATTCATGGCTTTTCTGCATATAAGAAGTTGGATATATAAGTTTGGAGCCTGGGGAATTAATGTGTGTGTGGAGGGGTGGTTATCCACACAACCACCTGTCCCTCTGTCCATCCATTCACCAGTTTATTCTTCCATATATCCATTCACTCCTCCCCAGTCCACATTCCCCCTCCAGGGTGTACCTGCTGTGTCCCCATAGTTCAGGGTGAGTGGCCTGGCAGACTCCTCCAGGTGAAAAAGTGTAGACAGCTTGGTACAGTGGTCGCCCTAGGAAGGGCTCCTCTCAGACCTGGCAGAGGTCCTCAGCTGGGCTCTCTCAGGAGCTGAGTATGTGACCACCCCACCCAATGTCACCTCCAGAGTACTTGAGCCAAGAGGAGTATGACACCTGGAGCCAGAGAGGGGATATCATCCAGGAGGGAGAAGCGTCAAGTGGCCTCTGCTGGGTGACCCGCCAAGCTGTAGAGTCCCTCATGGAGATGGTAGGAGATGGGGCTTGGGGACCACTCTGGGGATGGCAGCTCCCCTCGGGACTGGCAGAGGACTTGGGGACTGACCTCTGAGGCCCTAACATCCCAGCTTGATGTTCAGTGGGAGGGACAGAAAGACCAATTCTGCCATTTAGCATCTGTGTGCTCTTGGGCAAGTTTACTCCATGAGCCTCAGTTTTAACTTGGGAGATGTTTAATAAGTGTTTGCCAATGAGTAGAAAAACCAGCCATAACAACAGTCCCAAGCTTGAAGGCTCAAACATATGAAGAGAACTCTGACACCGTGAACTATGAACTTTTGCACTTACACGGAGTGGGAAGCCCCAGCCCCCAGCCCCCCACCCCATGGAGGGCAACAGACCTGCACCCCATGCAGTCTTCCTCACTCCCAAAGACTTGCAGCTCTAGATTTTCCCCAGGGAAAATCAAATGGCTGGAAACACTTAAGATTATGTGTAACAAGCACCCTGGTACAGAGTGGGTCACTCTCCCCATCTCCCTTACCCATCCACTCTATCTGGGGCCCACTGCACCCTACACAGAGGGCTCCTTTCACTTCCCCCAAGACCTGGGGCCCATGGGTTTGACCTATTTCTCCCTCCCCCCAAAGAATGTCCACGCCTTCCTGGACATCCGGCTGGACAGTGTCTGTGTCCTGCACAGGATGGATATTTTCCCCATCATCATCCATGTCTCTGTCAATGAGAAGACAGCGAAGAAACTCAAGTAGGTACATGCTGGGGGCTGGGCAGCGGGCTTGTCCCACTGGGAGCTGAGCAGCAATGCTGGGCACTGGGGTTGGGACAGGCAATCAAGCTGGCAGGTGCCTGCAGAGTGTGGTAAGGGGTTTCCATGACTCTTGCTGCTCTGGCCCTTGGATGTGCTAATTAGCAGTGCCCCCCACAGCCTGAGGAAGAGCTCTGACTGCCTCCTGCAGGAGAACCTGCCCACCGCCTGGCCTAGCTAGATTAAAGCCACACACTTTGTGGGGCTCACAGAATCTAATCCATGTTGAGGACAAAAAAAAAAAAATGCTGATAACCATTACTTGACTTATGGCTGGGGGCAAACAGATGTTCTGCTAACCCGTCTACTTTGGAAAGTGAGACTGGATTCTACACAATGGCCCCCATCCGTGGAATGGCACTTGGGGCCCCGTCCTGGCTTCTTTGCAAGGTTGCCCTCTAGGTGGAGCAACTGTGCTGCATCCAGGGGTGTCTCAGCAGATGTGAACCCCAGGCCTGGGTTCCTCCTGGGGTTCTGTACTGGGAAGCAGTGTGGCTGCTTTCTTGGCCTTCCTTGCTGTCCCCTAAGTTCCTGCTGTCTCTGCCATGCAGGAAGCGCCTGCAGCGGCTCCACACCTCGGAGGAGCAGCTCCTGGAGGCGGCCAGGCAGGAGGATGGAGAACTGGACAAAGTCCCCTGTCTGTACAGCAGCCTGGCCCCCGATAGCTGGAGTGACCTAGACAGCTTGCTCAGCTGTGTCCGCCTGGCCATTGCAGATGAGCAGAAGAAAGTGGTGTGGACAGAGCAGAGCCCCTGCTGAAGCACTTTCGCCCCTCCAGGGGCTGTGGGGACTTCCATGTGCCTGCTAATGCTACCTTGTCCTTTGAGCTCAGGGCCTTGGGCACAGCCGGTGCTGCTCAGCACACAGACCCCACCGTTCCTTCTCTGGTTGGGGTCTAACCTTGCACCCTCTTCATGTGCAGGTGACAAATGGCAAAGTCACCACAGCTGCTCACTTTTCTGCGTAAACTATCTCCACCCCTTGCCCAGTTGTAGTCTGGGCCCAGCAAGAAGCCCGAGAACATTTCTGCAGTGTGTGAGGGGCCCAGACCTGGTGGAAACGTGGGGGCTGCCCATTCTTACATTTCAAGGTGTCAAAGGGTACTTTCCAAACTCTCCAGAGCACCTGCCCCTGCCCAGGGCAGAGGCACAGAACCCATGCACTGTAGCCCTGGCTAAGCTTTCTCAGCTCCTGACATCCGTGCTCTAAGTCAGAACCTCTAGGTCGGACACCCGTCTGTTAACCTGCAAATGAAGTCCCCATGGTGGATTGTGATTTCAGTGGGTCTGCGTCTGGTGACCCACATGCCTGGCCCAGGACACAGGACTGTTCTGGCCGAGAACTGCCTCTCCAACCTGGCACTGCCCGCTCCAGGCCCTTCCCACAGGGGCCCAGCTTCTTTGTTCCACCCCCAGGGCGTGGAATCCCTCAAGCACACCTTGGAAGAGGCCCCCCCCCACCTGGCCTTGACTCCCACTTCCTGGGACTGTGGTAGACTGTCATTTTGACAGTGTCCCTGAATCAGGATGTCCTAGAATTCAGGTTGCTAGTATCAGAAATTAGTTCAAAAAGTGAATTTCTGTATATTTTACTAAAATAAAAAGTTTTTACAACGCTGGGGCCTGTGGCTTCCTTCCCACCCCCCAGTATGGAGTGGATGGTGGAGTCCCCGCCCCCCCGCCACAAGAGGGTGAGAGGCCTCTCTAGGTTTTCCAGGCTGAGCTTCTGCTCCTATGCTGGGTGGAAGAAGGGCAAGTGTGGAGTTAGATGCTGGCGTCACACAAGGACAAGTAACCCAAGCCACAGCCGTGGAGCACTGTCACACTCTCATCCTTGGCCACTCTCAAAAAGTAGGATGAGTTGTGTCCAGGACCACAGGAGGAAGCTCATCACTGCCAAGAATCCACGAAAGCCCTACCAGGGCAGACATGAGACCCTGACTCGGGGAAGGCACAGGAGCAAGCCCGTGGCGGTGCAAAGGCCTCCTCCAGCCCAAGGTTGGTGAAAGCAGACCTGCAGTTCTGAACCTGCCTGCCACCCGCATGGGACACAGAACCCCGGGCTCCTCTTGGGCGAACGGCTTAGAAACATCCACAGGTTCCAAACTAAAGAGGGTCTCAAACCTGAGTCTCTGCCCCTCCACCTGCAGGTCCCCAAGCCCATCCCAAACTGGGGACCTTGCCCTGTGCCAGAGTCTCCCCTAGAATTCCTGTGCTGGAAAACAGCTCAAACACAAGAGCAGCAGGGTCCCCTGCTATGGTGACAGTAATGGGCGGGGCACAACTTGGGTGTCCCTTCCAGGAGGCAGGAATGAGATGGCAGAGGTATCTGAGGACGGATGGAGGGAGGGAGAGACTGTTGGTGCTGCCTCCTTCGTCCCTTAGCCACATCTAGGAAGGGGTAGCAGGCAGTGCCCAGGGATGGTCACAGCTCGTTGTGGAGAGGACGGCACTGAGGAGAGAGCTTCTCCTCCAGAATGCCATCAGGGGCGCATACCCAGGGGTCATGGGTTGCCCACTGCCACTTGAACAGGTGGTCCTTCAGCACCTCCAGCACCTGTGCAAAGCGTGGGTCAGCAGCTAGGTTCTGGGTTTCGTGGGGGTCCTGGCTGACATCAAAGAGCTCCCAGTGCTCCCGGTAGTAGTAGTGGTGGAGGTCCTTGTACCAGCCTGTGGGCTGACCGGCCATAGTGCGGTTCAGAAGGTCCTGAAAGGTTGGCGAAACATAGAAGTCCTGGTCGATAGGAAAAGGCATCTTGAAGCCAAGGTTGTGTACCAGGTGGAAGTTCTGGTGGTACACAGAGCGCATGGGGTAGAACATGGTGACCTCGTGGTGGCTGTGGCTGCCAAAGACTGTGGCCCACGCAGGTTCTGCCTCCAGCGCTGGCAGAAGGGACCGGCCTGTCAGCTGGACAGTCTTTGAGCCAAAGATGGCATAGCTGGGGTAGGGGATGGAGAACCAATCCAAGATGGTGGGTGTGAGGTCTAGAAAGGAAAGAGCCACTCAGGCAGAGTCCCTGCAGGGCACAGAGCCCCTTTAGAGGACTAAGTCAGAAGCACCCCAGAAAACCCATGGGCACCTTATAAGACCAGATTACTGGTGGGAAGCTGTTGCTTTGACCGATGCCTCTCACCACTGGCCTTCTCTGGACCATAAGGCCATTAATGGTATGACCAGAGGCTCTTGCTTGATGATATTTAGGGTCTTCTAAAATCCTACAGACCAGAAGGGCCACCCAAGGTAGGAGGGCTTGTCTGTTCACTCGGTGCTGGGTCACAGCACCCCCATGTTCATGGTGGGTACCAAAGAGAGAAGTGGGCCCTGAGCTGGAGGGAGCCAAAGCTTGAGTGGAAGCAGCCCCCAGGGAGCTCTTCCAGGTAGTGGGCAGGGCACCGCGAAGTGCCAGGACCAAGCTCACCCCCGTCTCTCTCTGTCCCCGTACCGCTAGTTTTGTTCACTCGTGTGCACTAGGGCTAGACAACCCGAGGCCCTCTTAGAGATGAGCAGGGTCACAAGGGACTCTGGGTCCCTCAGGAAGGCAGCATAGGGGGCAGGGGTTGCCAGGCCCACAGCACTGACATCACCTTGGAACTTGTCAGACACTGGAGGTTGCGATCTGACATGAACAAGCATCCCAAATGATTCTACTGCTCATTTGTGGCATGGACATGACCATCCTTCTTAGGTGGCACCACGCTAGCTCTCAGGAATACAGCGACACCTGACATGTGACAGTCCTATTGGACGTTCACTTCCACACCCTTCCTTGCGTGAGACAGACAAACCCATACCTAGGAGGCTCACATAGGCCTCGCTGACCTGGCCCCAGCGTTGCGGGTGCCGTGGGGATGAGACCAGCAAGGGTTCAGCGGTACCCGGCCGGTACAGGTTGGTCCTGCCGCTGGGGAAGGGGATCCCATTGTCCGACGTGAAGATGACCAGGGTGTCGTTCAGGACACCAGCTCCACGCAGCTCCTGGAGCACAAGTCCAATCCCTGCGGGTGGGGGGAGGGAGCCTGGCTCAGCCATGTATATAGACTCAGCACTTCGTCGCCACTGGACTCCGTTACTTTCTGGACCTTAAAACACCTCTGTGGTTCTTCCTGTCAGCTCAGCCTCCTGTCCAATACCACCTAGCTCCCCGTTCTCAGCAGGCCACACAGGCTCCAGAGACCCCACCCAGTCATCACTAGGTACGCTATCACTTTTTTTTTCTTTTTCTTTTGGCAGTACTGGGGTTTGAACTCAGGGCCTCCTGCTTGCTATATAGGTGCTCTTACCACTTGAGCCACTATGCCCAGCCCTCTTTTTGTGTTTTCAAGATAGGGTCGGTTGAACTATTTTCCGGCTGGCTTTGAACTGTGGTCCTCCTGATCTCTGCCTCCTGAGTAGCTAGGATTACAGCTGTGAGCCACCGGCACCCAGTGGCACTGCCGTTAGCTACTGCCCACATGGGTTTCTGTGTTTTGGAATTTCATGTTTTTCCCCTACGGCAGAGAGACAGCCTGGGCAGGGGCTTGAAGATGGGATTTCCTCCACGCCCTCTTCCCAGGGCCTTAATGGGACCAAAAGGGACATGGTTAAAAGTATTAATCTCCTGCAGGGGACTGGCACGTCCTCCCTCACGACATATCCATTGGACCCTGAGAATGTGACTTTATTTCAAAGAAGAAACTCTGACGATGACATTAAGGATCCCAGAATGAGATCATCCTGAAGTCCTCGAGTGGGTCCTAAATCCAATGACAAGGGTCCTTAGAGGAAAAGGAGGTGCAGCCAGGCACTTACGGCTCATGCCTGTAATCCTAGCAACTTGGGAGACTGAGACCAGGAGGATCGTGGTTCAAGGCCAGTCTGGGCAAATAGTTCCTGAGACCCCACCTCCAAAATAACCGAAGCAAAATGGACTGATTTCACAGCTCGAGTGATAGAGCGTCTGCTTTGCAGGCTCAAAGCCCTGAGTGCAAACCCCAGTCCTTCCAAAAAAAACAAAGAGGAAAGGCAGACAAAATAGAAGACAGACAGTGAAGATAGCCACATGAAGTTGGAACCAAATGCTGCAGAGATGTGGCTGCAGGCTGAGGGGTGCCAGAGTCTCCCCAGCTCCAGAAGCTGGAAGAGGCGGGAGAGTCCACTTTAGAATTCTGGTCTCTAGAGTCACGAGCACACAGATTTCTGCATCGCACATCTGGAACTTGTGGTACGTTGTTATAGCATCAAGTTTTATATCTGCAAAATCTGGGCACCCCCACACCCCTCGTCTGATCTGATCCCACTGCTGGAAGAATGAGCATTCCCCAACCCCTGGGGCACCTGAAGGGCCTGGGCCGGGAGCAGTTCTGCAGTTCTGCAGCAGGGCAGCTGGGAGTGCGTCCTGGTGACCCATAAGACAGGGCTGCCCAAGTCCACCCATGTCCAGTTAGTTCCCTAAATGTGGGCTCTGCTCACACACTTCTCCAGGTGGGACCCACCTGGGCTGCGCCCGACCCAGCGAGAGGGTCTCATGAGGCTCGGGGGTGGGAAGGGAGAGTCAGCATACCCCACTCCCTAGCTTCCCAGAACCCACCTTGGTCCATCCGGCCAATGGTGGTGTACTGAGCAGCCAGGTCAGCTCGGGCTGCTGGTGTGTCAGGGACAAAGTAAGGTACCTAGGGAAGACAGGTGGTGAAAGTCAGGCTTAGAACAGGTTAGGGGAGGGAGAGTGGGAGAAGGAGGGGGCCCGCCCTTGAGCTGGGACAGGGGACAAAGTGTCAGCCTTCTCCCCAGGGTCTGCCACCTCCTTCCTCCTGACAACGGACTGGTTGGAAACATCACAGCTCTCTCTGTGGCCCACAGAGGGGAACCCCCCAGTCCACTTAGTCAGGGGTCTCCTCTTAGGTATTAATGTCACCTATCTGGGATAAGGCCCTGGGATGAACGCTGCTGAGCATCTTGGAGGCACAGCAAGGGCCCCTCATACCAGCACATCCCGAGGGTTGTAGGTCTGGGGTGTCCAGTCTGGTATACGCCCCATGCCTCTCTCCCCGCTGCCGAACTTCTCACAGAAGGTTCCGTACTGGGGCTGGGAATGGCCACAGCGGTGAGGGTCATGGAAGGCCACATAGAGGAAGAAGGACCTAAATGGGGTGGGGGAGGGGGGAAGGGCTCGGTATCGAGGTCAAGGTCCTATGGGCTGACCCCCCCCCACCTGGCTTGGCCAAAGCCTTGACTTTCCATCCTCGAGGGCCCTGTTCTTTAGGCAAGAACACATTCTCCACTTTGCCCTGTTTTCTATCTGAAGGTCATTCTATTATCCTCACTGCCTCAATTTCCCCAAGTCGTCTCTTCTGTTTATACTAACTTCAGTTTCTGGAGTCTTTTCCCCCTGCCCTCAGCTCAAGCACCTGGGGACTGTGGCAATTTCAACTGAAGACCCTGGGATGTGAGTCCAGGTTGAAGGCTGAGGTCTGGCTATGCTTAAGGGTAATGGGGTGCTCAGGACTCCTTGTACCTGTCGTCCTGAGTCTGCAGGAATTTCCGGACTAGCAGCTTAATTCTTGTGATGTTCCGCCCCACCTGGAGCACAGAGCCATTCTCCTCCGTGTACGCAAAGTCAAACGGGTACACTCCCTCCGGTCCCACGTGCTTCTTCCCAATGATGCCTGCGGTGGGCAAGAGGCCTGTCCAGAGCCCTCTCTGTCCCCAGAGAGGGCTACTGCTGTGGGTGGGCAGCCACAGCCCAACCAGGAGGTCCTAGCCCAGATCCGTGGGACGAGGGCTGAGGGCAGCCACATGAGCTGAGAGTGGCTAAGAACTCCCGGTTCTGGCCTCAAGCTACAGGGCAGGGAGGGTCCAGAGAGGAGGCCAGCACACCTGTACCCCACCCTCAGGCAGGACACCTCACCTGTGCGCACACCAGCCTGGCTGAGCAGCAGCGGCAGGCTCTGCACCTTGTCGAAGGAGCTGAAGTGGTGCATGTCCTGGTGCAGCCCATACATACCATTCTGGTGCTGTGGGAAGGACTCTGTGAGGCAGAGCCCCTGCTCCCCAACCCCTCATCTCCCCCACCCCAGGGGCCCTTTAGCACGGCCAGCACCCTGGGGGGATTTCCTCCCAATCCCGCTCCCTGCCCAACAAGCTGCAGGTCTCTCCTGTGACAGCAGGACATCAGCAGGAAGGAAGTGGACCTGGAGGATGTGCTTTGTACAACTTTTCCAGTTATGATCATCATAGCGGGAAAGAGAAAGCATCATTTTTGCTATTACCCAGTTATTTTGTATTTTAAAAGAAGTCACTGTACAGGTTAAAAATTCAGACCATTGAGAGAGATGGACAGAAGGAAGGAAGAGCTGCCTCCCACCTGCAGCCCACTGTCTGGAAGCAGCACGGCCCTCAGCTACCAGATGTACCTTTCAGGAGGTGTCTGAGTACATGCTCCCCTCCACGAATGCCTGCTGCTCAGCCCCAGCCTCTCATGGGGACTTGCGGAGAGAATATGTTCGCTTACAACACGGTATTATCAAAAGACGTAGAAGAAAAGTAAGTGCCCTGCACACCTCCTCACAACCGTCAAAGGTGGAGACAGCCCACGAGTACACAGATGGATGAATGGAGAAGCAAGGTGTGGCCAATCCACACAAGGGGATGTCATCAGCCTTTGAAAGGAAGGAAGTTCTGACACAAGCTGTGGCATGAACGAACTCTACTCGGTGAAACAGCCACTCACAAAAGCATAAATACCATATGACTCTACTTATAAAAGGACCTTAGAGGAACAGGGATTGCTGTGGGCTGGCGGGGGATGGGAGATAGTGTTTAATGGGTGCAGAGCTTCGGTTTGGGGATGGAGGTGGGACTGGCTGCACAACGCAGAGGATATACTCACTGTCACTGACTGTGCACTTAAAAATGGTTAAGATGGCAAATTTAATGCATGGATACTTTGCCATAATAAAAAAGAGAGCAAGTGCCTTAACAACACAGCTGTTGTCCCCATGGGAGTGCCTGAGATGCCACGGTGACAGGAGTTTCAGAGTGGGTGTACAGGCTCTGTGCTAACCACCTTACCCACAAAGCCCCCCATGATGACCCTGTGAGTGATGTCTTGCACAGATGAGGAAACTGAGGCACAGACAGGGAAGCTATTAGCTCAAGACCGCAGAAAGAGTGGAGCCAGCTCTGCTGAAGTGGGGAGTCAGAACCCCAGGGCTGCACTTGAGAGCACTCAGCTGTGCCTGGCCCCGGGCATGGGAAAGAAAGCAGGCAGCACCCTCAGGGAGACAGGTGGATCCCTGCAGCAGAGGCCTGCCCACCCTCCCCTTCCCACCTACTCCTCTTACTCCTGGCCACCCTCACCTGGGGCAGGCCAGTGAGGAGGCTGGCACGGCTGGGAGAGCAACTGCTGACGGAGGTAAAGGCATTGCGGAAGATGAGACTGCGGCGGGCCAGGGCATCCAGGTGAGGGGTGGAGATGGCACTGTTGTTGTATGCGCCACTCTCAAAGCCTCCATCGTCCGCTGAGGAAGACAGAGACAGAGGACGTGGGCTGGGGCCAGGAGGAGCAGTGCCAGGGAGTGGAAGAGACCTGAGGTGATGCTGTGAAGGCTTGGCCAGTGATGCCCAAAAGGGAAAGACACCAGAGGGCATGATACGCAGTAGGCACGCTACCCAGGCAGGCATGGATGACTAAGTTAGCAGGCAGCGATGATACCATGGCACGCATGGTACCCAATACCTGAAGTGCAGGTGGGTACATTGACAGCAGGTGTGATTCCAGCAGGCACGCTACCCAGGCAGGCATTTTAGCAGGTGGTTGTGCTGTGTATAGACATGCCACAACACTAGGCATATCCTGGGCACTAGGCAATCCTGGGCTCTGCACAAACTGCCCAAGGTGGTAACTAGGAGTGTCGTGCCTAGGGCACATCTGAGGAGGATCTGCATGTGTGCATGCTACCACCATCTCTCACTATGCACAGTCCCTTCCCAAAGGTTCAGAGACCTTGCAGATTGTCTAGTTTAATCCTTCTGACCTATATGAAGCAAATGAGGCCCAGAGTGGTGAGGTGCAGAGCCCAAGATCACCCAGCTGTGCAGAAGGGAGTGGGGACAGGCCTCCCTGCTCCTACAGCCACAATCAAGCTTCTCTCTGTTCTGGAGTACATGAGAGGCACCTCAGAAGCCAGAGGGAACCCCCAGGACAACACCTTCCCCACCTGCTTCAAAGGCAATGCATCTTTATACAGACTGGGACAGTCAGCCTCTGGCTGGGCCACGATCCTCCATCCCCTGGACCCACTGGGTATGAGCTGATGGCCACCAGGCAAGCTGGAGGATGGGAGTGGGTTCTGGGGTCATGCCATTTGATGTGTAGCTTGTGGCAGGACAGAAGGCAATGCTGCCCTTTTCCAGGCCTGTTCAAGAAACCTCAGCACTTGGCTTTGACCCTGCAATGGAACAACTGCGTCCTCCCCAAATTCTGATCCTGAAGTCATAACCCCAATGGGTCTGCTGACATGGTCTTTAATGAAGACTAAGTGAGGCCATAAGGATAGGGTCCAATCTCGTAAGGAAATGGGGAGGCAGCAGCCGCCTGCATGCCAGGAAGAGGGCCCGCACCAGAACCCCATGGCGAGGCTCCCTGATCTTGGACTTCCAGCCTCCAGACTGTGAGAAATAAATTTGTGTGTCAGCCACCTGGTCTGGGGCTTTTTGTTACAGCCGCCCAAGCTAAGACAGGACATAACCCCTAGGCTGCATGGTTTGGGCTCTGGAAGCCTCCAGCATGAATCCCATTCCCGGAAGGAATCAGTGCAGATCTATATAGGGTAGTCCTTCACTAGCACCCCTAGAGCTGGTCTGACAAGAGTTGTTTATGTTACAATTAGCTAAAGTGCCTGCCCAGAGACCACAAAGTTAATCAGAAAGTTGGCCTGGCAGAGGGCCAGACCTCAAAAGGGTTGTGTTGTCATGAACCAGGATTCCTGTCATCTAAACAGGAAGTCTCGTGAACAGCAGGGTGCTGGAAGAACTTGGGGTTTCTGAGAGGGGCTTGAGCTGGGGGGGTGGGGTTGTGCCCTTGGACCTGGAAGGAAGAGCTGAGCCACAATGCTCTGGGGTCTGAAAAGGGAAGGTCAAGCTTACAAGTGGAGGGAAAGGGAGGCGAGCAGAGAGCACCCCTGCCACTTCTTTGGGACCTAGGTGTCAGCCCCTCTTTTAGCACCTCCTCTGGGCTCTGTGGACCCCCAGGCTCTGTAAAGCCATCCAGCATGCTGAGCTGGGGGTCCAAAGGTCGTCCTGGCTGTTCTGAGTAAGGGTGAGGGGTAGGATCAGACAGGGGTAGAGGGATTGAAGGCAGAAGTGTGAGCGCTGGATGCAAGGGCTCACCCCTCCAGGCCTCATCACACTCTAAGGCGCTAACCGCGAAGAATCTGGGGACTGCAGAGAGCGGGTACGAGAGGGAATGAATGGCAGAACGACTGCAAGGAGCAGAGCACGCGGGGGTCGGCAGTGACCACTGGTGGGGAGGGGGCGAGTGGCCGCTTCCGGGGACAACAAGTGGCCGTAGGAGGCCAGTGCCCGGGCCTGCAGCACTCACCGAGGATAAGCAGAACGTTGCGGGGACGCGCCCGGCAGAGGCCCAGGACGAGCAGCAGAGCGCAACAGGCGGGCCCGGGGCTGCGCATGGCGGCGGCAGCTCTGCGCGCCGGGCTGGGTCAGCAGCTCCGGGTTTGGCCCCGCCCGCCCCGGTCACGTGCACAGCAGGCCCCGCCCACCCCTCTCCCACTATTCCTGCGGACTCTGCCTCGGAGGCACTGGGAGACTCCAGGCTGCGGCGCCCGGTGAGTGAGTCCACGTTCGCAGAGAGCTGCGCGCAGAGCCGGGGTGGGGGTGGGGGTGGGGGGCTGCCCGGGGTGGGCTTGGGATCACGAGAGGCAGCTGACGCGGGGTCCGAGGGTGAGCCCCTCTCCGCGGGGACCCCCCCACCTCGTCCCTCCCCTCCCCCCAGCTCTCCGCAACCCTTAGCCATGCTCGGGACAAGCGGGTCGCGGACCGTCAGCCGGCGCAGGGGTTCCCTCTCAGGTCCCCAGGATCCCGGGCTAGCGGCATCGTGGGGGAGGGGAGGAGTGGATTTCGCCCCCAGCTGCGCAACTTGGGCTGGTTTGGGGGGCGGGGCTGCCCTGGTTCTGCCGGCTGGCCGGGGGCGCCAGGACCTTTCTAGAGGATCTGCGCACCCCGAATTAATCAGGAGCCTCTGATGGTTGTTCAGAACCAACTAGAATCTGTGGAACCCCTCTAGGAGTATGAATGCCACAGGTGGGATTCATAGCTCTACAGGGTATGATGGATACGGAGTGGCCTCTGGATGCGAGACCCCCCCACACCCCGATCCCCACCCCAGCACTGCAGTCCTCCGTAGTGGGTGGAGCCATTGGTGGTGCGCACTTGGAAATGGAGCCCCCCGGGGCCTCCAGGCCGCCCACCCACGCACTCTGTCAATCAAGTGGAAGCCTGCTGGTCCTTTCAAGTTCCTGGGGGAGGGTAAAAGAAAGAAAAGGAAGGATTCTCCAGGAAGAAAAGTCCATCTTTAGGCTTCTGGGGAAGAAGTCCTTTATCAGGTTATTTGTCGGAGTTGTTGATGGAGCAACAGAGGCATCGAGAGTTCGGGACAGTGAGGACAATGAACAATGAGCAGACAGGGCGGGCCTTCTGTACAGGTTGTTGGCTTTCTCTCTGAGACCATCATGGCCCCTGGGGAACTTAGCCCCCTGGCTCAGCATCCCTTCACCAAAGGGAATACAGTAGACCCCCATGGGGGATTGCCCAGCCCCTGACTGCTGGTCTCTCTCGTCTATTCCCCAACCCCACCCTAGAGATGCCCTCTTCGGTGAAGACTCTGGGTCAGTCCAAGTCCCTGGGCTCTGGCATGGCCTCCAGCACCTGCTGCTGCACCCCAATGGCTGTGCAGAAGATGCTGCCCATCCTGGCCTGGCTGCCTGACTACTCCATGCAGTGGCTGAAGATGGACTTCATCGCTGGCCTCTCAGTCGGGCTCACGGTCATCCCCCAGGCTCTGGCCTATGCAGAAGTGGCTGGACTCCCACCCCAGGTGAGGTTTCTAGCCCCACTCCCAGCCATGTCCCCCCATAGTCTGATCCCACACTCAGTTCCTCAGTGTCTGTCCACAGGCAGAGTGGAAACAGGTAGGATGGAGTCCAGACGCATGCACACATCCTACCCCAGGGGCCCAAGGATCCCTTGATCTGTAATCTCTGACATGTGACTGGCATGGAGCTGGTTCAGGATTGTCCAGCTGAGGCCAGCGTGATGACTCATGATATCCTTAGGAGCACTTCCTCAGACTCTCAGATGTAAGCACCCAGGCCTTTGAGCTCCCTTCAGGCAGCAGCGCCCCCTCCCCCATCTTGTCTTCAGCGCTCTGAGGCCCCAGTGGGTACTGGTGGGGAAAGTGCCCTGTGTTCACTGCAAGTCCATTGTGCTGGAGTGCCTAAGTACACAGTTGACACCAGGGATCCTCAGAACTTGAACATGGACACTAGGGACATATGGATAGGCCTCAAGGCTCCTGGGCACTCACTGCTGTCTTCCCCAACAGTACGGCCTCTACTCTGCTTTTATGGGATGCTTTGTGTATTTCTTCCTGGGCACCTCCCGGGATGTGACTCTCGGCCCCACGGCAATCATGTCCCTCCTGGTGTCCTTCTACACCTTCCACGAGCCCGCCTATGCTGTGCTGCTGGCCTTCCTGTCAGGCTGCATCCAGTTGGCCATGGGGTTCCTGCGTTTGGGTAAGAATCTGTCTTGTAGTATGGGGGGGTCTTTAGCTTTGCTTTCCCAGAGTACCAAGAACCCCTGGGAATGCCCTTGATCTCAGCATTTCCTCCTCTGCACTCCAAGGGCCAGCCCTCTATGGCGGGGGCGGGAAGGGGGAAGTCTTACTCCCCAGCCCTACTGTAGAGATCTGCACACTTACAGGTTGACAGGGGCTCAGACCTTCCCCACACCATCCTGGACAGGGTGTGTCACTCATCATTCCTCTCTGGAGGAGAGCTGGAGCATCTCCTCCCAATCCTACCTGTGCCACTTCTCCCCACCCACAACACCCGTGCTATGGAACCTGGTGGCACTTGGATCAGCTCAGTATTCCCTCCTGGCCACCAGGGTTCCTGCTGGACTTCATCTCCTGCCCCGTCATCAAGGGCTTCACCTCTGCTGCTACCATCACCATTGGCTTTGGGCAGATCAAGGTAGGCACAGTGCCCACCAGGGACTCTGCCCTTGGGCTGCTGCTATATGGGATACCTGGGAGTAGGACCAAGGACAGTCCCAATCTTTTCAGCCAGTGAATATCTTGCTGTTTGGAATTATCTGTTTTTTGTAGATGGGGGACACACGTGGAGCTCTCCTGGGTACCCCCCTTAATAAAATGACCCTCCTCGGGGAGATGTTGAGTGACGATCAGATTTAGAGCAGATAATGGGGGGAGGCTAGCAATTACCCGCCTGACAGTCACCTGAGGGCACTCACACAGGGTGGTTCCCTTCTGCCTTACCACCCATCATCAGGGACATGAGCCACCAGTCCACCAACCACCAAGGTTTTCAGTATGGTTTTTATATTTCTATTTAAGATAGCTATAAAAAGTATATAATTCATAACCATCAGTTAAGCAATTAATAGTCAGTTAAGCAGGGTGGAACTGAACTTTCTTCACTGGGTCTTGCATCCCTTGTGGGCAGCACTGTTTTGCTGCTGTCCCTGGTACCCAGCACAGTGCATGGTGTGGCGTGTGCAGAATGGCACTGAATTCAGCTCTGCAGATGGGACCTGGGGCCCCTGATGGCACACTCAGGGTCACACCCTGTCTCATGACCCTGTGTTACCACCCTACGTCCCACGCTTTCCTTAGGGAAGCACGGCCTATGTCTGATGCAGGCTGGGGGGAGAGAATCCACAGCAGGAGAACGGGTGTGTAAGGCAGCTGCTTCTCTGCACCCTGCCTATGTGCTAGGCTTGGTCACACTGTCCATGTGTTTCAATTCTTCTCACGCTCCAGGAGGTAGGTTTGTCATTGTGTCCACTGCAGGAGGAAGTAGCCTAGAAGATGTGGGTGAGAGCGATGTATGTGGTATTTTCCCATGTGTGTCAGGGTGTGCCCTGCAAATGTGGTTTAGTGGGAGAGTCTGTCTTTACATCCTTCATCTGTTTTTCCCTCCGTGCTAGGAGTTAAGTGCTCCATTAAATGTCACGAAACATAGGGGATGCCTTTCAGTGCTTTCCTAGTTGGCAATCCAACCCTCACCTCCAAGTTTTAAAAACCTTGATTGGGTCATACGTGCAGCCATCTGACATACCCAGGACAGAAGCCCCCCACCCCACCCCCCACAAGTCCTGGAATCCATCAGTGTCTGCCCACCCCTTGTCTCTCGCCTCAGTGTTTGCAGAGCTGGTCCCACACCTGACCAGGTCTCAGGCAACAGAAAGAACTGAAGCAAGGAGTAGAGCCCGTCCTCTCCCCAGGACCTCCAAGGGCTGCAATCCTGGTGGGAAGCAAGTCTGACACCTTCTTACTCCTTCCCTGCAGCCCTGGCAAGCTGCCACACTGATTCCATGCCCAGTGCGATTTTTTTTTTTTTCCTTCCAGCAGTGGATGCTGGGAATAACAGGTGTGGGCCTTGGGCCAATGGTTCAGGTTGAGCAGGCCTGTGGCCCGGCAGCCCTGATGAAGTAGCTGTAGGACTGGTCTCCCTACTTCCAGGTTTCCCAGACTTTTCGTTTGAAGTGACCCAAGCATGAGGTGCTGTCTAAATCCTGCCATTGGGGGTTTTGAGAATGGGCAGGTGGTCCCGTGGAAGCCCTGAGACAGCCATAGCTGGGCCCCAGGAAGGACTGTGGGAAGTCTAGGACTCTAGGTCCAGGACATTAAGCAGTGATGTCTCGAGGCAGGGAGTGAGAGAAGGAGAAAGGGAGGTGGGGTGGGGCAGGGGGCAAAGTTGATGGGAGGGCCCAGGCTGTCCCAGGTTGTCTGATGGATCTCTGTCTGCACAGAACCTGCTGGGACTGCAGAACATCCCCCGGCAGTTTTTCCTGCAGGTGTATCACACCTTCCTCAATATCGGGGAGACCAGGTATCCTGTTGGCTTTTCTTTCTACCCCAGATAAGGGAGGGCTTCCTTCCAGACTCCTTCTCCACTCGAGGGGGGCATTTGTTCTCTCTTCTGGGTCCTTGCTACTCAAACAGCTCCCCAGAGAAGTGCTGTCTCCTCCCCTGGGAGCAGGTCAAGCGTACAGATTCCCAGGCCAGCCCAGACCTACTGAGTCAAGGCAGCATTTTGGCAAGAGCCCCAGGCAGTATGACATCTGCCAGTGTGATGGCTGGCAGGAAGGGGAAGAGTCTATGTGAAGAAAGAGCAGTCTTCCACTCACATAGCAAGCAGAGGACCCAGGGGAGCTGAAGCAAACACAACAGTCCTGCAGGCAGTGCAGCGTGAGCAGTGAGAGAGCTGAGGGTGTCTCTCCCTCCCAGAGCAGCCCAGCAGAACCCAGGACACTTGTCCTGCCTGTCCTGCTGGAAGCAGTTTGGGGGAGCAGTGAGGGCTGTGGATGTTAAGGCATGGAGGTTGATCCTGGATGCCTTCCTCCCCACCATAAGCTAATGCTGCTCCCAGAGTGAACCCACAGGCTCCCTGCCTGTCGGGATGCGGGTCAGCTTTCTAGGGTCAGTAAGAGTGAACAGTGACCTCCCCCAGCACATCATGGACAGTGCAGTGCAAAGGGTCTTACCAACTGTGTAATCCAAAGCCCTCTGTAGGGCAGAGAACTGTGTGACTGAAACATGGGCTCCTAGCCCCACTGCCATGGGGATGGGGGCCTGTCAACACCCAGTCCTGCACAGGGCTGTGTACTGAGATGCAAATGAAAAGTAATGCAGATTATCAAGAAAACAGAAAGGGCCATGAGGGAGAAAGACTTTCAGAGACACCTACAACCCAAGACTGGAAGGCACGAGTCATGGCGGGCAGGGTTGGGTAGTGACCAGTGTTCTGCCTGCAGGGTGGGCGACGCCGTTCTGGGGCTGGTGTGTATGGTGCTGCTGCTTGTGCTGAAGCTGATGCGAGACCATGTGCCTCCTGTCCACCCCGAGATGCCCCCTGGCGTACGGCTCAGCCACGGGCTGGTGTGGACTGCCACGACAGGTGAGCGGCCCACTCCACAGAGGTTGCGTACCGACTGGGCTACGCGTCATGGTCACCTGGGGAACCCCGCATCCCCTTGAGGTTCTCCTGCCATTGGTGTGGAGCTGACTCAGGCCCTGGGCTCGGGAACTCATCGGCCACTGCTGATTTGTAGAGACAGTGCTGGGTGATGTCAGAGGACATGGCTGGTTGGTACCCAGTGGGCCAAGGCCAGAGATGCTGCTGGACACCCCGCTGTGCACAGCTTCCTGCAGTTGTGAAAACCCAGTCTGCGGGGTCCCTGGGGGAGAAACCAGATTCCACTGAAGAGGCCTGCAGGGGAAGTGAAAGCTCAGCTTCAGTTAGGGAGCGTGCGGCCTGGGTCAGTTAATGAAAGGGTCCGTCGGTAAAGGCCAAGGCTGGCTGCCAGGCAGGCGGAGAAGGACCACGTGGCCACTGGCCAGGGAGGTATGGCGAGGTGGAAACCTACCTTCCAGGCATCCTGTGCTCTGGTTGTCAAGACAACACAGAGGTCCCAGCACTGAGCACTGGTCATGACCCCCAGAGAGAAAGGTACACCCAGGAAAGGAGGGAAGCACGGATGTCTCTGTTCTGTGAAACGTGGGTGCCCTCAGCCTCCAGGAGCTTGTTGGAAATGGGGCTCTCGGGCCCACCCCAGAGCTCAGAGTCTGGGCACTTGGGGAAATGCTACCCCATACTTTGCTCAGAATTTTCCTCCAATTTATGAGAGGATTGGCCAGGTGTGGTCACAAGAGGACACAGGACAGGCTCAGGGGACACTCAGAGTTGTTTTTCTCATGGTACAAAAACCATCAGGAGGCATAGCACACCATATGAGGCCACATGGGAAAGACTTGGCCAGCACAGGGAAGGGTTAGGCCATGGTCTTTACGTGGTTTCTGTGTTGCACACGGCCCAGCAGGGCGAGCTGTGGTGCTGGCCAGTTGGAGCGATTTTAGCAGGCTTTGGGTCCTTAGATACTGAAATAGGGGAACACCGTTCGCTGGGGTGCCCAGGCCAGGTGGAGGAGGGATAGGTCGCATATCAAAGTCAAGCTCTGACTGGGCCCTTTGTTATCTCAGAATTGCCTCTCCCTGGAAGGGGTAGTCTGCCCAGTGAAAGATGTCCAAAAAGTCTATAAAGGAATATTTTTGGGTTTTATGGCACTTTTGAACTCGAAGTTTTGCACTTGCAAAGCACCTGCTTTGCTCTACCACTTGAGCCCAGCTCCAGTCCATTTTTCTCTCTTTTGAAGATGGGGGTCTCATGAACTATTTATCTGGGATGTCTTCAAACCAAGATCCTCCAAACGTCAGCCTCCCAAGAAGCTAGGGTTATGGGCGTGAGCCACCAGTGCCCAGTGAAAAAAATTATTTTTGAGACAGGATCTCACTATGTAGCACAGGCTGGCCTTGAACTCCTGATCCTCCTGCCCCAGCCTCCCTAGTGCAGTGATTATGGCTGTGTGCAAACACGCCCTGCTTATACAGAAAAATTTAAAATACGAATAGCACAGGGTGCTGTCTGCCTTGTCCTCAGAAGGCATCACTGCCTTCTGGTCCTAACACGTACATTTGTGCCTTTGAGTCTCAGGACAGTCTTGAGGATGGGTTTGGGTTATTATTCCCCCAATTTACCAGTGAGGAAAATGAGGCTCTGAAAGATGAAAAATAAAAACAGAGTCTCACAGCTAGAAGAGGCAGAACAGACTTGCCCCCAGGTCATCCACCTCGTTTCCATGATCGGTTTGTCTAGAGGTGTGTCAGGTGGTTTTTTTAATTGTTGTGCTGGGTGGGGGGGTTCATTGGTGTGTCAAGTTCGTCATCTTTCCCCAGCATCAACTTCTGGCTTCGTTGATTGCACTGTTGCTTTTTGTTTTCTGGTTCATTGATTTCGGCTCTAATCTTTACTGTTTTCTTTTCTTTTTTTTTTTTTTTTCAGGTTTACCTTTTTTCTTCCTCCAAATTCTTAAGGCAGAGGTTTAGATTTTTAATTTTCTAATGTAGGGGCTTAAGCGCTATAAATTTCTCTCTCAGTACTGCTTTAAGCTGTATCCCACGATTTTGGGGGGTTTTTTTTGGTGATACTGGGGTTTGAACTTGGAGCCTTGCACTTGCTAGGCAGGAGCTCTACCACTCAAGCCATGCCTCCAGCCCTTTTTGCTTTGGTTATTTTTTGACTAGGGTCTTGCATTTTATGCTCAGGCTGACCTGGACCAAGACTTTCGTGTAACTGGGATGCCGGGTTTTATTGGTTGAGATGGGGTCTCGCTAACTTTTTGCCTTGGCTGTCCTTGGACAGAGATCCTCCCAATCATCTTCTGAGTGGCTAGGATTACAGGCGTGAGCCACTGTGCCAGCCTACATCCTCCAGTTTTGGTATGTTCTGTTTTCACGTTCATTGATTTGTAAATACTTTGCTGTTTTCCATTTTGACTGCTCCTGTGAAAATGTATTGTTTGACTACTTCTCTGAGCCATGAGAGTGTAGTTTACAAAGTTTTCCACTTAGTATTTTGCCATTGAATTGAATTCCTTTGTGATCAGGTGATACACTTTGTGTAATTTAAATCTACTGACGTTTATTGGGTCTTGTTATGGCCTGGAATATGGCCAAGCTTAGGGAATGTCTTTAGTGCGCTTGAGAACATGTATTCCGCTGTTACAGGGCAGAGCGTTTTGTAAGTGTTAGATTGAGTTGGTTATTGTAGACTACTTTATTCACACTGAGGTTTGAACTCAGGGCCTCACACTTGCTGGGCAGGTGCTTTACCACTTAAACTACCCCACCAACCATTTTTTCTGATGGGTTTTTTCAAGATAGGGTCTCACAAACCACTCATCCAGGCTGGCTTCAAACCATGATCCTCCTGATCTCTGCCTCCTGAGTAGGTAGGATTACAGGGGTGAGCCACTGGTGCCCAGCTAAACTGATTTTTATGGGCAGCATATAAATGGGTTTTTTAAGCCATCCTGACAGTCTCTGCCTTTGGTTGGCCTGTTTATGCCATTTATGTTTAGTGTGATTATTGGCATTTTGGGCTTTAGATCTACCATCATTGCTGTTTGTTTCCTCTTTTTCTCACATGTTTTTTGGTTACCTTTTTCTCTCTTTCTGCCTTCTCTTAGACTGAGTCTTTTTGTTGTTTGTTTGACAGTACTGAGGGTTGAACTCAGAGCCTGGTGCTTGCTAGGCAGGCATTCTACCACTTGAGTCACTCCACCAGCCTTTGGATTGAATAGTTTATGATTCCATTTTATTGCCTTTACTATTTTCTGTGTGTTGTTTTTGTTTTGTTTTGTAGTACTGGGGTTTGAACTCAGGGCTTCATGCTTACTAGGCAGGTGCTCTACCACTTGAGCTATGCCCTCTATCCCTTTCGCTCTCGTTATTTTTGAGATAGGATCTTACTTTTTACCCAGGCTAGCCTGGACCACGATCCTCTTATTTTACACGTCCCGCCGTAGCTGGGATGGCAGGCACACACCACCACGCCCAGCTTTTTTCCATTGAGATGGAGTCTGGCAAACTTTTTTGCCCAGGCTGAGTTTCCCAGGCTGCAATGGGGGGCTGTGGCTGGGGTGGAGTCCCCCCCCCCACAAAGTCTGTTTGCCTCAGTTACTTTTCTGTGCCTGCCAAGATGGGGTCTCACCAACGCCTCCGCTCTGTCCTAGCTCGCAATGCCTTGGTGGTCTCCTTTGCGGCCCTGGTTGCATACTCCTTCGAGGTGACAGGATACCAGCCTTTCATCCTAACTGGGGAGACGGCCAAGGGGCTCCCTCCGGTGCGGCTCCCTCCCTTCTCAGTGACCACCGCCAACGGAACTGTCTCATTCACCGAGATGGTGCAGGTGAGCAGAGGCAGGGGCCAGTGACATGGTTAAGGCCGTGGTGGCCCCTGGGTCAAGTCAGGACTGCTGACTTTTGGGGGAAATGGAAAAATCCCTGATCAGACACCCCCTGGATGTTCCATTTGTCCTGTCCTGCATGTGGGTTCTTGCTCCTTTGGATACTGCAGAGCACACGTTCCCAGTCTGTCCAGCTTCCTGCCCCGCTCACATGAGGAAGAGGCGCTTCCTCCCCGTTTCCTCCCTGTGTCTGCACACTCCTGTAGCTGGGTACCTGGAGGCCACCAGTGTCCCCTCTGTGGGTCCCTGCCTGGACAGACCCACCCTCCCTGAACTCCAGAAGACCTCTCACCATCCCTCTCTCCTTTCTCCTCTCAGGACATGGGGGCCGGGCTGGCTGTGGTGGCCCTGATGGGCCTCCTGGAGAGCATTGCTGTGGCCAAGGCCTTTGGTAAGACACCCACCGCCCACAGCTCCCCTGGTCCCCAGCCCTTCCCCAAGGCTCACCACCTGGCTCGCCTGTTGGCTTCTACCTGCTGAATTTTTAAAACTGGAGTTCTATCTAAGGAAGACATGCTTATTTTTTTTTCTTTTTTTTTTTCATTTTTCTTTTATTATTCATATGTGTATACAAGGCTTGGTTCATTTCTCCCCCCTGCCCCCGCCCCCTCCCTTACCACCCACTCCGCCCCCTCCCTCTCCCCCCCCTCAATACCCAGCAGAAACTATTTTGCCCTTATCTCTAATTTTGTTGTAGAGAGAGTATAAGCAATAAAAGGAAGGAACAAGGGTTTTTGCTGGTTGAGATAAGGATAGCTATACGGGGAGTTGACTCACATTAATTTCCTGTACGTGGGTGTTACCTTCTAGGTTAATTCTTTTTGATCTAACCTTTTCTCTAGTTCCTGGTCCCCTTCTCCTATTGGCCTCAGTTGCTTTAAGGTATCTGCTTTAGTTTCTCTGCGTTAAGGGCAACAAATGCTAGCTAGTTTTTTAGGTGTCTTACCTATCCTCACCCCTCCCTTGTGTGCTCTCGCTTTTACCATGTGCTCAAAGTCCAATCCCCTTGTTGTGTTTGCCCTTGATCTAATGTCCACATATGAGGGAGAACATACGATTTTTGGTTTTTTGGTTTTTTGAGGAAGACATGCTTATGTTTCAAAGTGGGGGAGGGCGTTGGTTTGAGCAGCTCTAATCTGAAATCTGAAACTGAGCTGACGTGATGTGGGTCCTGCTCAACCAGTAGAGGCTGAAGATACACCAAAACCTGAAGCACTCCTGGTTCTAAACGATTTGGATAAGGGACACTCAGCCTGCACGGTAAACAGGTTCTGTGATGCGAACCCCTCAGGCTGTGGGTGGTGAACATTCTAAGAGCCTGTTCCCCAAGGACAAAGGCCCTGCTCTGCAGCCAGAGTCCGTTTTGGGGGTAAATGCTGCCACCGTGGCTGTGCTAAGCTGACTGGCACCGCTGGACTTGGCGCTCGGATGCAGAGTTGGGATGAGGTGTGTCAGGTGCCATTGTGTTTCCCCATGTCACACTTGCGGTGGGGCCAGTAGCCCATTTACCAATCGGGATGTGTGAGTTGTGAGTCGTACATTTATTTTTAATTTTGTTTCCTTAATTGAAAGCTTTAGTTTAATTGGTAGTAATGGCTGAACTTCAAAGCTCACCTTTAATAGCTGGCTTGCAAAATTTCTAAAAATCTGACAGCGGGCTTTCCCTGCTGGCTCAGCACCTCGGCAGGTCCCCTCCTGTCCCAGGGAGGCAGGGAAAGGGCGGCCTCCTGAAGCCCCCACTTCAGGAGCAGCGTCTGTTGAGGCTGTCTCTTGTCTCTCTTCCCCACAGCCCGTCTGTACTTCCAGCTTGCATTGGTGTGATGACACACTCCTTCCCATCTGTAGCCATAGTCAGGTCCTCATTCTGAAGGTTAAAACCCAGTTAAAAGACCAGGGTGCAGCTCAGTGGTAGAGCACTTGCCTGCAATGCATGAGGCCCTGGGTTCAATTCCCCTAACACTGCAAAAAAAAAAAAAAAAACCATTTCAGACTTTGAATTATTTCAGAGTTTTAGACACATTTGGTGTCTGTGTATGTGTTTTATGTGTACTTAAACACCTACTTTTACAAACCTCAGAGGCACACATAGAAGCTTGTAGGGTTTTTTTTTTCATTTCTCTTCATGTTTTCCTGGCAGTGGAGTAAATCCAGTGACGTTTTTGTTGTCTATTCTCTAGCTTCTCAGAATAATTACCGCATTGACACCAACCAGGAGCTGCTGGCCATCGGTAAGACCCCTAGCTACCCAGACCCTTGGACCCCTTCTGTGCCGGGAGCCTCTGTGTCTTGCTGAGTTGGGCCACATGTGGCGATGGTTCTGCAGCTTGACTCATTCTCAGACGTCAGACAGTTTTGCATAATCACTAGGTGTGGGGAGCTCACCCCACCTGGGGTCTGTTGAACACCTGCTGTGTGCCACCCTGAGGACTGTAGCCTTTCTCTGTGCCAGGGAATGCCTGGACCGCTCCACCTCTGGAGGGAGCATCCAGGGCTGGCTGAAGGGTCTGATCAGGTAGACTCTCAGGTGAGTCTCCTGAACGTGCCCTTCCCATCCCAGGGCGTCCTTCCAGGCAGGGCGTTTTCTTTGTGGTTTCTGCAGGGTGTTTTGAGACTGTGGCAAGAATCTTAAACTTCACTACTGCTTCAGCTACACCTCTAACCCAGTACTGTCTTGTCTTTTTGTCTTTTTTTTTTGGTACTGGGATTTGAACTCAGGTCCTACCTACACCTTGAGCCACTCCACCAGCCCTGTTTTGTGATGGGTTTTTTGAGATAAGGTCTTGAGAACTATTTGCCCGGGTTGGCTTCAAACCACAATCCTCCTGTTATCTGCCTCCCGAGTAACTAGGATTACAGGTGTGAGCCGCGGGCTCTCAGCTCCCAGTACTGTCTTTAACGTGTCGTGAGGCCCAGGACTGTTGCCTGTTCTTCTCACCCTTGTGCGATGGGCACAAGTCCAGCCTGGGCTGTGGGGTTCCTTCCTGAGAAGGGCTGTCAGCACCCTGACAGCTTTACGGCAGGATGGGAACTTGAGCCCCTTGGCCTTTTTTTTTTAAGTACTGGGTGTTGATACAGCAGGACCTCACCTGCTGTATCACTGAGCCACACTCCCAACCCTCCAACTCACTGTCGTCCTATCTCTGCCTCCTGAGTAGCTGGGATTACAGGGGTGAGCCACTGTCCCAGCCATCATGTCTTCTTGCCAGCAGTGTGTGGGGGTCCCAAGGGGACATGCAGTGTTGTTGTGTGAGCTCCTGATGAGCCGTGCCCAGTTCACTGATGGACTCAAGCATCTCAGGCTGTGAAAATGACCTCCCAGCTGCCGTTTACCAGGGGTCCCTATTCCCATTACTTCAAAACCAGCATGCTAAGGGTGGGGCGGGGCTGGGGGCGTAGCTCAGTGGTGGAGCACTTACCAAGCCTATGAAAGGCCCTGGATTCCAGCACACACACACACACACACACCCAACAGAAACTACCAGTATAGGACTGTCCTGATGGTGCAGGAGCTTGGACTGGGTCCTGCAGAAGTGGTGCTGGATCTGCAGTGGGCTGAGCAGTCGGCCGCAGCAGGAGCTAACAGGACCCTTGCAGAATGCTGAGCCCTGCAAATGCCCAAGCAAGCAGCATCGTCACTGTTGGTGGCAGTGCACACTTAGCCCCTGGCCTGAAGCCATCGTGGGTGAGGATGGTCCTGTGTAGCCTGCCATCACCCTATGGCCTTTCCAAGCCCTCCGCCATCTGGACCCCACACTCTCAAGGACATGTGATAGACCATGTGGCCCTGGAGGTCCACTGCTTGAGCAGTTCCCAGCCTGAGTTGTGTTCAGAGCAGGCCTTGAACCTGTGACCCCACTGTAGGATTTACACAGTGGGGAAGACTGGTCGTTGTGAAGGCCCCCTGACTGGGATGGACTCTGGGGAGCAGGTTGTGATGAGTATAAGCTGATGTCTTAGTTCTTGGGTCACAGAGAGGCCATGGGTCTGGGTTTCATTCAGTGTAGTTAGTCGAGTCACCAGGGGAAGACAGGTGACTTGTCACCTCACGAAGACTGGAGGTGGGGTAGAGAGGAACTTAAAGCCCCACGGGTGGCAACTGTTTCTTACGGACACTTTTTTCGTCAGTTGTGCACCCCCTTCTGGGAGGCGGACGTCCTCTCTGTTACCCAAGGAGAAGGTGCATTCAAGGAACGCAGCAAGGCTGGGGCCTGATTTACTTAAAACCCAGAATCAGGACTGGGGAGGTAGCTCGCTGATAGAGCACTTTTATGTCACGTGAGACCCTAGATTCTACCCCAGCACAACACACACAAAAAAATTTAGAATCCAACCCGGACAAGCAGGACAAAGACAGGGATTTGTGTTTTCTTTCCCAGAAGAGTGCAGGGACCAGGCACGGGGCTCCCAGGTCATCACTCCGCCTCTTCCTGGCCTTGCTCTGATTTTATGTCTCCCCCCTCCTCCTGGCTTTTTTTTGTTTTTTGTTTTGCCTCTGATGCTCCTGCCCCTCCCCATAAACCTCCATTTGCTCCCTAGGCCTCACCAACGTGCTGGGCTCCCTCGTCTCATCCTACCCAGTCACAGGCAGCTTTGGGCGGTGAGTGACTGTGTCCTTACTTCTCTGCCCCTGGACGTGGGGTGGGCTCTTTGCCCTTCCCCTCACCCTTTGCCTGTGTTCCACACATTTCTCATTGTCCCTGTCGCAGTCCACACAGCCTCCTGACAACTCTTGGTCAGCCATGACCATGTCTGTGGCAAGGCAGGGGAGGGACTCACACCTGCAGTTCAAGATGGAACCTGGGTTCCCTGCTCTATGATTAGGGCTAGGAGGTTCCTGGCATGTCTGAGAGTTTCTGGCATGTTGGGGGTTATTCCCAAGAGAAAGTGGGAGGCAGGAAGCACTAAGTTTCTATCTGATAGATTGGGTGCTGGGTTGAGCTCCACTGACCCTGCCTGGAGTCCAGAAGATGGGGTGGGAGTGCCCCATGGCTAAAGGGAGGGGAGCGTTGCCCACTAATGCCCATCCCCTGGGTGGGGGTACAAGGTAGCTCAAAGGACTTGTGTATTCTGATTTGTATTTTTGTAATCAATTATAAAAAGAGTAAGACACACAAGGTGGATTGAGCAGTGACTGCCCTGTGGGACTTGGGCCACCTGCTCTCACCCTGAGACCATGTCCTGTGGGAGTATCATCTGCTGTGTGGACAGAGCCCCTCTTCCTCTCAGCCTCGGGATTCACAGCCATCTTTGTTGCCTTCCAGGACAGCCGTGAATGCGCAGTCGGGGGTGTGCACCCCAGCAGGGGACTGGTGACTGGTGAGCCCCCCATCTTTCCTTGAGCCTATGCAGTGGGATGCAGGGGCAGGGAGGGAGCCACGGTTAAAGGAACCTCCTACTTAGCAGGACACCAAGTCCACTTGAAACATGGCTGTGTCTCACCAGGTCCACACAGGTGCCAGGGCCTTCGCACCCATCCCCCCCCCAACCCTAACCCAGGCTGTCTTAAGATTTGCTGGGTGGGATCCTTCCCCTTGAGACCCTCCCAGGTGACGCCCCGCCCGCCCCGCAGGTGTGCTGGTGTTGCTGTCACTGAACTACCTGACCTCACTCTTCTACTACATCCCCAAGTCAGCACTGGCCGCCGTCATCATCATGGCTGTGGCCCCCCTGTTCGACACCAAGATCTTCGGGACGCTCTGGCGCATAAAGAGTACGTGTGTGCTTGTGGCGTGAACGCCGCAGGTGTCATTCATTTCTCCCCTTGTGTGGCCGCACTGGGGACTGGAGCTGGGAAGGGAGAGCAGTCCCTGGAGGAGTCACACAGGTGACCAGGAGATGGCACTGACGTGCCAGGTGGGTGCTCAGCACAGGCTGGTGCCTGGGTTCAGCTCCAAGGGGAAAGACCAGCAGGGACCTTCCTGCCCTGGCCTCTGCTGCCTCCTCTCCCCCTCTTCCTGATGACCAGCAAGGCCCGTGGTACAGCCCCATCTCTCTGCCCCTGACCCGGGGGTCCTGAACCTGTAACTCCTTTAGTGAAACACGTTGTGCTGTGTTGTTTATCAGAGCATAAGGATTGGCTTCTTTCTCATCATCCCCAGCGAGTCAGTGAGGGCCTGACTCGTATTTTATGGTTTTTTTTTAGAACAGCCTTGAAACATATTAATATGCTTGTGTAGAATATAGCTCTCTGTTTCTCTTGAGAGAAGCTGAGGCTCAGAGAGTGTGAGGGAATTAACGTTGCATCCTGGGTAGAATCCCAGGCTGAGCCCAGCCCGCGCACCTTGCCCCCAGGACACCTCCTTAGCCGAGGAGTCCTGCATGGTCTCCCACCTGCCCCTTCTCAAACTCTGTCCCTTCTTTCCTTGGCCTCCTGACAAGCCCCCAGATGCCCACCTCCTCCCAGAGGCTGGACGCCTGGGACCTGGCCAAGCAGGTCCTACCCACGCCTCAGCACACACAGGGAGGCAATCTTCCTCTGACCTTGGCCTGTGTACCAGCTGTGGCCCATGGCTGCTGTCCCCCAGAGGTGCTTTGGGTCAGTGACCACCACTCCTCTGTGGGAGGAGCCAGGAGGTCTGGCTGTGGGGAGTATTGGGGCTCAGGTGGTAGCTGAGAGTTGAGTGAGCACAGGCTGCCACTGAGCTGATCCATGTCCTAGGGCTGGACCTGCTGCCCCTCTGTGTGACGTTCCTGCTGTGCTTCTGGGAGGTCCAGTATGGCATCCTGGCTGGGGCGCTGGTGTCTGTGCTCATCCTTCTGCACTCCGTGGCCAGGCCCAAGACCCAGGTGCGCCCGGGTGAGGCGAGCGTAGGCAGGGCTCCTGGGCTTAGCGTTTTCTGAGTGTTCGAGTTTATGACGTGGGCTGCAGACTCAGGGTGACCATTCCCTTACTCTGCCACTGACTTGGGGCGCTGGGTGTCCCCTGACAGCTCCCACTCCTCTCCCCTCCAGGGCATCGAGCTTGAGTTTCAGCTTCCTGCTTGAGACAGACAAAGGCTGGAATAGGCCGTCCTGTCCCACCTGTCTGCAGGACTCACTGTCTTTCCTCCTCCATCCCAGGTGTCCGAGGGGCCGGTTCTTGTCCTGCAGCCAGCCAGCGGCATGCATTTCCCTGCAATTGAGGCCCTGCGTGAGGCGATTCTGAGCAGGGCTCTGGAGGGTATGTGGGCTGGCCAAGATGGGCTGAGGTGGGCATGGGCTGAGGTGGGCATGGGCTCCCTGTCACCCTCTGTACCACAGCCCTGGCTCCATTAGACCAGCCTGTCAAGGAGATGCTTGCCTGTTCTCAGATCCATGATGGGGTCATCCTTGAGTGACATCCCCTGCAGACAGGACAGTCACCAGTGGGCACTCAGCCCATGACTGCTGGGCTCTGCTTTAGCAGCAGCCATGGTGCCCACAGCGTGGCTCTCACGTGCCTGTGAGGACTGTTCTTCCAGGGAGCTGGTGTTGCAGGGAGCCCAGGCCTGTTGGCCCTTGGGCAAAAGCAGCTGCTGCTGTCACCAGATGGTTGTTTCCATTCCTGCCACCCTGACCTGCTCACTGGGTGATTTAGTCCCAAGGAATGGGTCCTTGCTGGCCTCGTTCTTCCCCAGCCTCAGCTGCAGAGGGGCATGAGCTGCTGTCCCTGGGTGACGGGCTTGGGCCTGTCCCCCCAGTGTCCCCGCCACGCTGTGCAGTTCTGGAGTGCACCCATGTCTGCAGCATCGACTACACCGTTGTGCTGGGGCTTGGTGAGCTGCTGGAGGACTTCCACAAGCACGGCGTTGCCCTGGCCTTCGTAGGCCTGCAGGTAGGCAAGCTGGTTGCCTCGTGAGGTAGGTCAGCACCCTCCCGGTGGCCCCGGGGTTCATAGGGCGTCTCTGGGTTGGGATGCCAATCTGAGGACAGATGGTCCAGCCCCTCAGCTGCTGTGGCTCTGACCAGGCAGGTTCCCAAGCCCACCTGACCTTCACCCCTTCCCTGTAAAATGGAGGGGGGAGGTGACCCCCTGCTGCTGAGGGCATCACTGTCCCTGGCCAATAGTGCTGACCCATGTCTGCTGCCGTGCCGTGCTCAGCACCAGGGATGTCTGTCCAGAGCTGTACTTGTGGCTGTTGTGTCCTGCACATGTTTGCAGAGCACCTGTCCACATGTTCTCTGGGGACTGTTCACGTAGAAACGTCTTTCTGGCAGCAGCTCTCGGGGCCACCTTCTCTATCTCCGCCTACCTGTGCGGAGGTAATTAGCACCTCCTCAGGACACTCGGCATCAGCTGGGCCGCCTAGCCTTCGTGTCAGGGCAGGACCACCCCGCCCTAGATTAAACATGTCCGTCTGCAGGTGCCTGTGCTCCGTGCACTGCTGGCCGCTGACCTGAAGGGGTTCCAGTATTTCTGTACCCTGGAGGAGGCAGGTAGGTGCAGGGGACATTCTTCAGGGAGCTGGACAAGCCAGTGTGTCTGCACTCCCAAGTCATCAAGACAGAACAGGACAGGGTTGGGAAGGCCAGAAACTCTGGGGGATGGAGAAGGATGCTACATCTGAGCCCCAGGAAGACTGGACTGTGCAGCATAGTCACAGGGCTGGACCACAGGTGGGTGGAGCTGGAGCTGCGCCTGCTAACAGGGTTCCAGGCCCACCTGTGGGGTGAGAGCAAGGTGTGAGGGACAAGGCCCTGGGCACACTGCCCCAGCAACCCTTCTCCTCCTCTGGGGAGTTTTTCTTAGATGTTGTGTGTAGGAGGTGATGTCTAAAGACAAATATGCAGAACGCTTAAATGGTCTACCTGTGTATCCACCAATCAGGATACAGTAGTTCCATAATTCTAGAAAGTTCTCTCATGCCCCACCCCCAGGAGGACCCCAGGATCTGATTTCTACCATCATAAGTTAGTTTTGCCTGTTCAAAGACCTGTACATACCCTTGGAATCATAAAGAGTCTTTTTGCCTCTGTGTCTTGAGCTCAGCACGTCGTCTGTGAGGTTCATCCATGTTGACTAGGAGCAGCTCGAATGCCAGCATGCAAGAGGAGGGTGACAGATAGTGACACAGCTAGAAAAAGAGAGCCCAGCAGGCAGATTAACCACCAGAGACGGTGATGAGCCCAGAAAGACAGTAGAGCTCTCCACAGAGTTAGGGGTTAGGCCCGAGCGGCCCCAAGTGCTGTCTTTGACTCCATCCCGTGCCTTTGTCCCTACTTCTGCTTTCTCAGTGATTGACAACCTTGTCATTTTTGCAGAGAAATACCTGAGGCAAGACCCAACGACCCAGGCCTACAACGTCCGTGAAGACTCTGTTCCCGAGCACAAGGTCGCCCTGTTAAAGGCCTAACCAGGCCATTGTTGGGCGGCTGGTGTGGGAAGGACCTCCCAGAAGGTTCCCATCACTGTGATTTGATGTCCAATGTTGCCAGATAGACCTGTTGTTCTGATGGGGCTGAGAAAAGGCTGCACAGGTGACCCCCGGGAGGAGCAGGGAGCCATGTAGGGATCTCCAGGTGGGATTGTGGTGTCCTTTCAGGATGATTGAAAAGTCACCTCCCTGCTCTCTCCTGGGTGTGGATCTTTCAGGGGGAATGGCTTGTAGAAAGCCTTCCAGAATGACAGGCCAGGTGAGACAGGAAGGAGCAGGGTGTCCAGCGGGGCTGGGAGAGGCTCCCCAGGCCCCCAGCACCTTCCTGAATTGGATTCTGAGTTCCACCTTCAAGCCAGGCCCAGCCGGGAAAGAGCAGGGGAAGATGGGCATCTCAGAGACATACCTGATCTCAATGTGGCCTCCCAGCTGTGGCCGGAAAGACAACCAAGGTGTGCCAAGTGATTTCAGGCCTATTGAAAAGTAATTTTGTGCTTTTTAAATGGAAGTGTAATAGCTTTGGTGTTCTTGTAAAAAGCATAAATGCTTACTGTAAAAAATACACAAAACCATCAGTGATCGCCCACCCCAGACCCCCACCCCTCCACAGATGTGCGTGTACTCTGTCCATCTGCATGTGGACACGTTCGTGATTTTACATAAACAGAATCACTCCATGGTGCTCTGTAACCCACGTTTTCATGCAGTCCTTTGTGTGAGTTATTTATTGTGATAATAAATGATATTAGACTATATGATTTTTAAGGTCTACACAGTATTTGTTCCATATCTCCATCGTAATTTGCGTAGCGAGCCGCCTGTTAAACATGTGTGTGCGTTATGGACCCAATTGAGTCGCCCTAGAGTTCAGAGGTTGACACTCCCCCCCCTTGCCCCCAAACAATGTGACTATATTTGAAGATGGAACTCAGAAAGTAATTAAGGGTAAATGAGGTGTCGGCCCTTAGGAGAAACTGAGGCACAAGTTGATTTAAAAACTAGTTTATTTGGACTGATGAGAGTTGCAGCCTAGGAAAACACAGGTTCGTGCAGTCCTGAATGCATGCTCCGGGTGTTAGGACCCGGAATCCTATTCCCCCGAGAGACAGAGAGCCAGGCGTGAATGCAATCTACAAAGCAGAGTTTATTGGGCTGGCTAGCCAGGGTCGAGCTCCCACACGGACACGCAGGACCGGTTAGGAAAACACGACCCTGAGCCTCTTTAGGGGAAATCTTATATAGACCGCGGTGGCGTGCATATTTTCGTTATCAACATTGGGCAAGCAGGCAGAGCACATCTTGCGCGTACCTCACATCTTGCACGTACCTCCCGCTCACATTCCCCACGTTCTATATGCCCTAACCGCGCCCTGCCGCATTGCTTATCTTATCTACACGGGGTGTTTGGTACTGGTTTCTCCAACAAGGAGGTTGGGGCCCGCTGAGACCTCCTATTCCTTTCATTCCCCCCTTTTCTTACGGCCTAAATTGAGGAATCATTCTCAAGGGGATGAAGAGCCTGATATTGTTGGCGGAGGACCAGAAGTTGGATAGTATTAATTCGACTTTTGACAAAAGTCATAAGTCGGTTTAGAATCCAGGGTCCTATGGTAACAAGTAATAGGATGATTATTATTGGCCCTGCCAGTGCAGATAAAAGGGTAGCCAACCATGGGGACTGGTTAAACCAAGACTCGAACCAGCTTTCCCCGGCCTCTTTTTCTCGTTTTCTTTGTTCCAGGCTCTTTCGAAGTTTAGACATGGAGTCACGAACAACTCCGGTATGGTCAGCGTAAAAACAACATTCTTCCCCTAGAGCAACACATAGTCCCCCCTTTTGGAGGAACAACAAGTCCAGACCTCGTCGGTTTTGAAGTACTACCTCAGACAGGGAAGTGAGGGATTTTTCTAGGTGGCTAATGGAGGTTTCTATTCTCTCTATATCTTCGTCTATGGCTGCACGCAGCGAAGACATCCCTTTCTGCTGGGTGGCCAAAGAAGCTATGCCGGTTCCTGCTCCCGCTAGCCCTAGGCTGAGTAGGGTAGCAATAGTTACTGCGGATATAGGTTTTCTCTTTTTTTTTTTTTAACCATTTTTGTATTCCAGTATGAATATAGACTCTCTTCCGAATGATAGAGGATGCGGGGCAGCACAGTCACTATAACACAGAATTCTTTAGAGCTGTTAAACACCTTAGTTGATAGGCACGGGGTGAGTCCAGACCGCGAGCATAGCCACCACCCATTGTCCTTTGGAATTACCCATTTAATAGCATTTTCCCAGGTAGAACTGGCGTTAATAACAGTACATAAGTCCCGTCTGTTCTTTGGCACTTTTCCTAAGCAGGTTCCTTGGCCGCTTACCTGCTGTATGGTCAGACCTCTCTTACGGTCTCCCCAGGAACATTGAGTAGGGTTTTCCTCAGATGAGGTATCGTGAGTGGTGTTTAGCCCTATTGCCTCATAGAATGGGGGCCTCACATCATAACATAACCAACAGGAGTTAGTCATGTTAGGGTTGGTGTGGTTTAACGTCAGGAAGGCAGCACCCACTAGCTCCCAGAGGGGGTCTTTAGATGCGGTCATGAGACTGGGCCTCACCAGGGGAGGGCTGGTTTCTGATGGTCTTGGAGTTGTAACATTAGCCCGGGCTATGGTTGAGGGAAGGTGATGAGCTGTGGAAGGTCGGGGAGGTGGCTTTACATAGGGTGGCCTAAGTACCTTATTAGGGCCTATTGTTAGAGTAGAGACTGGTTGTGCACACGCCGCAAAGTAAAAAGGGCTCCTGGATGATTTGTTTTGTAGAGTCTGACTCCCCAGGATTTACCCAATTCCCAATTCGTTGCCTTTTTTCCTAAATCAGTGAAATTTATCATAATGGGATTACAATTGGGGGGAGTTGGGCATCCCTTATTTATAGGTCTAGGTTGGTGGTATGTAATGCCAGATTGAGAGACTCTACTTAATTGAATAAGGTCCCCCTGTTTGGGGGGTGGCCACCATATATCCCCTGAGCTCTCACAACCCCATGACTTACAATAATAGTCTGCGATTCCTCCACATTTTTTTCTGTGGTTGGGTTGGGGAGCGGGCAGACATAGAAGTAACTTTGGCGCAAATCCCATTGTCCCCTGCCAGTGAATAAGGCCCTTAAGTCAAAGTATAATTCTGGGAACCAGGTGCTGGGAGGGGTCACCTTGGAGGTCTGGTTAAGAATGTCTCCTGTGGATACATCTACAATCATCCAGGTCAGGTTAAAAGGTTGATGTGGATTTGTATGCCCCCAGCAAGTGGTGGACAGGGTTAGAAAAAGGAATAAAGTTACCGAGGTCCAGTATGAAGTTTGAGTTTGAAAAAATTTTCCTTGTGGTGGGACACCCTTCTTGTTGGCAGGAAGCCTTTCTTCATAGCTACCGGATCTGCCGGTCTGATGTGGGTGTAGTGGACCCAGGTGATAATCCCATTCTAGGAGGGCTGCGGAGCATCTGGAGTGTTCTCGTTTTTCGGAGCATCCCGTATCAGCCGGAGCTTGAGTGGGTTTGTTGGATGCTTCCGTGCGGACCAATTTTCCTGTTTTTTCTCCGGAGGGTGAGCCCGTCTTACATGGGAATGGTGTACCCATGCTGCAATCCCGTCGACCTTGAGGGCGGTAGGGGTAGTAAACAGTACAACATAAGGTCCTTTCCATCTAGGCTCTAGGGTTTTGGACTGATGCCTTTTAACCCATACCATATCCCCGGGACTATGCCATGTTCCGGAGGGGTCCCTCTCAGTGGTATGCTTGAATTAAGGGCCAATTGTTGTTGCACTTTAGCTAAAGCCTGTAGGTCAGGTAATTTGGGGCCAGATCACCTAGTTCGGGCTTAAGGTCCTCTGAATGATGGGGGGTGGAGCCCCATACAGGATCTCAAAGGGAGTTAGCCCATGGACATAGGGAGTTCCGGACTCGGAAGATGGCCAAGGGAAGGAGCGTCACCCAATCACCGCCAGTCTCCAGGGCCAATTTGGCTAAAGTCTCCTTTAGTGTCCTATTCATCCTTTCTACTTGCCCTGAGCTCTGGGGGTTATATTCACAATGTAGCTTCCAATTGGCCCCCATAGTCTGGGCTAGTCCCTGCAGGACTTTACTAACAAAAGCCGGACCGTTATCTGACCCAATTGCCTCGGGCACCCCATATCTGGGTATGATTTCCTCTAGCAAAGCCTTTGCCACTACCTGACTCGTCTCCTTCTTTGTAGGAAAAGCCTCCACCCAGCCTGAAAAGGTATCTATGAATACCAGCAAATATTTGTACCCAAACTTTCCCGGTTTTACCTCAGTAAAATCCACTTCCCAACTTCTTCCCGGAGCCCTCCCCCGTTCCCGAGTACCTGTATGGTGCCCCTCCCTTCGTCCTGGTTTCATGATTGTGCAGCTGGCACAATCTTCCACAATTTGGCGGACTGCTATGGTCTGGTTCGGAAATCGGAGCTGCGCAGATGTCAACAAGTCTAGTAATTTTCTCCGCCCCAAATGGGTGGACTTATGTAAGTTAGCCAACAGGAATCGTCCGAGTTTTTCAGGCAGAATTAACTTGCCTTCCAAGTCGCTTTTCCATCCGTCTTCCCCTTCTCTAAAGGGGGAGTGGGCTCTCATCCAAGTGAAATCCTCTGTGGAGTATTCTGGTCGGGGGGGTAGCGGAGGGAGCTCTGGGACCGGCACGTCTATCGCCGCAACCGTGGAAGGTTGCCCTGTCTCCATGGGAGGACTCACCATTGCTACTCTCTTTGCTTCTTGATCTGCTCTGTTGTTACCGACAGCTTCCGGCGTCTTGGCAGACTGGTGGCCTGGGACATACATCACTGCCACTGCCTTCGGTTTTTCCACTGCCATTAATAGACGCTGGACTTCGGCTAGGTTCTTTAGATGTTTTCCTTCTGCTGTGCGGAATCCTCTTTCGCGATAGATGGCCCCGTGGACATGGATGGTACCGAAAGCATAGCGGCTATCGGTGTAGATATTGACTCGCTTTCCTTTTGCCCTCTCCAGGGCCTCTGCCAAGGCAATTAATTCCGCTTTTTGGGCTGATGTTCCGGGTGGGAGGGCGCTGCTCCATACCGTATTTCCTTCTTGGTCGACTACAGCTGCCCCTGCCCTTCGGGCTCCATCTTGGAAAAAACTGCTTCCATCCGTGTACCAGTTTAATTTGCAGCCGGACAGGGGGGTATCCTTTAGGTCAGCCCGTACCTGTGTAACTTCGGAGAGGAATTCTTTGCAGTTATGGACAGGTGTCTGCAGTTCCGGGTTAGGCAACAAGGTGGCAGGGTTCAGGATTACGGGATCTGTGAATGTGATCCGAGGGGAATCCAACAAGAGCCCCTGGTAGTGGGTGAGCCTGGCATTCGTCATCCATTTCCCAGGGGGTTGTTTAAGGATTCCCTCCACCGGGTGAGGGGCCGTTACCCAGAGGGCCTGTCCAAAGGTTAGTTTATCGGCTTCTCTCACCAGCACGGC